TTTTTCATAATTACAATATATATATACATGTAGTTCAGACATAAATTTGTTGTCCTGTAGTTCAAAATATAACAGGCTAAATTTATATGGATAACTAAGATAAGTTTTCTCACAATACATTTATGAAGTCAACTACCCTTGCTTACAAGTTAATTTTTTTATTAATTAATTTGTTGATTTATTACAATTAAAGAAAACAAGAAGCCATAGGCGACAATCCTCCGTGAAGTCTTATATTTTGCAACAAAATAATCCCGTGCATCAAACAGTTACATAATGGCCAACGGTTTATGGCCCTTTATCAGTAGAGCGCAACTGGCCTGGCCAAAACCTGTCAGCAATACTAATTAGTAACAGTTGCAGCCAGCACCGCGAGTTACTACCGGTCACATACCCAGGCGAAAACATCTCAACGACATTATGGGGATGTTTAAAAAATTTAATTCCAATATCAAAACAGCCATCATGGTAAAAATAAAAAGACGTGTATGACATAATGGCACACCACCTGCCAAATTACACAGAAATGCTACGTACAGAACAATGCGTTTTGGCTGCGAACATGTATGGTACCACTTATCGACCCCTTCCGCACGTTTGCATGAAGTTCCACCCCCACCCCCCCACTGCTATTCCTAACAACGTGTTTTTCTGGACCATTCCAATTTGCCTCAAGGTGGTGGTGCATCTGCAATATTACATTGACCGCGAAAGCAGCAATGGCAAAAATACACATTCGTGCATCAACACGGGCATGCCCGCAGACGGCGCATAAAATTGCGTGCTGATTACAGAAAGAGAACCCAATGTTTTGACTGCGAACACGAAAAAACGGCTCTTCACAACACTACGTCCGGAGGTCCTGACCTCCTTCACGGAGTAACCATATGTCAAATTGCATACAGTGAAGTAGTAGAATATTCTTCAATCAGTGACTTTTGAAAAGTACAAAATACCTCGACTACTTTTTAACGGTAAAGGACATACATTTAGTATGTTCTGTGTGACATTTGCAGAAAGCTTTCAGGAAGTACATGTAGTTCTGTTGTCTGTTACAAACTTATTTTATTGCTACATGATGTATGCTTGAGCAAGTGGCATACATTAGAATTGTACATGATTCCTAGAGAGCTCATAAGACATTTCTTGAATATATCCATGACACATGTATATGCACCTGGATGATGACTTGTGTGACATACATGTAGCTGGCTCGCCTACATTTGCTGTAGATTATAATACCTGGTAATTTGTATAATGTACATGCAACTGTACAATATTTTCATATAATTATACAGATCATTAATTTCAATGATTGTACAGAATACAATCTTGTACATGTAGCTCCTGTATGATGTAGTATTTTTGCTGTAGGGATGGCTGTGTGAAGGGCTGGAGGTTGCTGTCCTTGTACAGTGCGTACTTCCCATGCTCAGACAACCTGAAACCGTACCTGATTAAACATCTACATAACGTGTCAACTGACTCATCTGAAGAGCATCACGGTTAGTCACAACATTGTGCATGAGCCAGCTTCATGCATTTGAGTAGTATACTTCAGGCTCTTCTGCATTGGAGTCAATATATACATGTACATGTATTTAGAGCAGTTCTTCTGCAATGAAGTCAATATACGTATATTTGAAGCAGTCTGAAACACATATCTGAAATAGTGAGTATTTTCATCTTCAGGTATTGAAGATGTCATTATACCTACATGAAAATTGTGTGTGTGTGTGTGTGTGTGTGTGTGTCTGTGTGTGTGTGTGTGTCTGTGTGTGTGTGTCTGTCTGTGTGTGTGTCTGTGTGTGTGTCTGTGTGTGTGTGTGTGCGTGCGTGCATGCGTGTTGGATTTCTTTTGTTCACTTGAGTGATATTTTTGCTTAGGCCACACCAAGTTGATTTGTTGATTCTCAGATTTCTTATGGAAAAATATGAAGCGACGGAAAATAACAGGCCTAGGCATCCTATGATAGCCCCAAATGCTATGATAGGAGCCATGACAACCAGGCTGAGTTATCATTCAAACAATGAATTTTATACAGTAACTTTTAATCAAATCACTACATTGATAGATGGAAAGTCTTCAACTGCTGGGGGGCAAAATATGAGCACTTCGAGTTGATTCAGAGCCTTAATTTTTTGCTGCAAATCAGAAAAAAAATGAAGCGGGTGAATCCAAGAGCCAACAAATAAAATTGGTGTGGCCTTACAAATGATCCCATATAACTCCATCCGCTGCAGCTGTGGCCACACAGTGTTTGGAAAATCTCCGTGCAACTTTGACCAATGGAGGGAGACAAAAACCACCACATCCTTTAGAGGTCAAGGCAATCGGAGTGAGTGACAATCATGATATTTCTAGGCAGGCAAATTGTTTGCAAGGGCCCAGTCACACTTCTGCATATCCTCTTTCCTTATAAGTAGCATATATTGACATTTCTTTCACACACAAATTTCTATACAAATAATGTGCATATAAAGTTACATACTGAATGAGGTGGGTATGAGTGCACAACACCATTTTTCTTGCTGCAAATAACAGCATATGCAGTGCACATGCTGAGTGTATTCCAGATGACCTCAACTTATGCCAATGGGAATGGCTATTGACAGGACCATCCAGTCAATAACAGAAAATTTTGCACTATTGACAAGACCATCTGTTCAATAGCAGAAACTTTTGCACTAGTGACAGGAACATCCTGTCAATAATAGAAAACTTTGCACTATCTTAGAGTAGATAGCCTTCATTCACATGTAGCAGTTAAGAATTTTGTAATTACTACGAGCTTGACTTCTGGTCACATCCAGGACCTGTACATAGTTAATTTTTTTAATCTGGAGATTACAGTAGCCAATCATTATGTCCTTCTTTCCTCAGATTGGTCGAAGTACCAAACGTCAAATGATTGTGATGCCAGGGAGTGTGAGCTCTGTTGTGAAGATCAAGACATGCACAGTAAGTTTCGGGAGACCATTTACTGTATATACTTGTCTGGAAAAAATGCAATAACTCAGAACCCCTTCAACAGCTGCCCGGCCGGCCGGTAAGAGATCGGTCAGCACCCTCCGTCCCCCGCACAGGAGACTGACCAGGTATCAGACAGGTCCCTGACAGAAACCGGACGTCAAAGGGACCAAAATGCTGTAGCCGCCTCAGCACCCAGACAGAGAGCTGTAAAGGAATATTTAATTCTGACCATGACAGCCGACATACGCCCGGCTTTATGACACCGGCCGGCTTCAACACCTGGAACTTGCCGTACAGGCCTCATTTAAAATATGAGTCCAGGTTAAAGATGAATTTACATACATGTATCATGCATACATTGTGTAATTTATGCTTCCTCAGCTTACTTCTGCTCAAGACATTTTTATGTCTACTTGCAATGAAATAATTATGATGCACAGTTTCATACAATTCTATAAGGTTTTTGTTGATTTGATTCAAATCTATCTCTGGGAGGTGGGTTCGAGCGCGATTGACGGCAATTCCCGTGCGTAAGGAAGGCAATTGCAATTGGATGAGCTGACAAGTGTGAACGCATGCATATTGGATCCCAGATGTGGATTGTAGGTGTGAATGGGGTGTAAGTCCCCATTTCAATTGCTTATGATGCCATAACCTTACAAGGGGTGATTAAATCCCTGAAATCTAACGCCCTGGAAGAACAGGAGACACCAGGGGGAGAACTCCATTGGCTAACAAGGGCGCACATGGGCATTTTGCTTCTTTGGAAAGGCAGCACCTTGACTAGTTGGAGGAAGGGTGGATGGAAAAAAACAGCAACAAAATTTGGATAGGCTATATAATGATAAAAAAAAACATTCCTCGGTGTCATAACACATGGTCATTTCTTATAAGCACCTCTTAAAGCTATCGCTCACTCTGTGGCTCAATGGGTGGTTGCTGGAAATATGCACCTTAACCCTTGTCCTGCTGACATTCCTGGCACAATATTTTTCAATAATTTCATGTCTTAATTATATCATAGCCCCCATTTTTTTTTGCCCTGCAGTGGCATAGTTACTTCCGCATTCGTTGCGTTTCGCTGCGGTGTGATGCGTTGCACGAGAAATACCCCCAAATCGTACCTATACAGGGTGTTATATAGATGGTACTGTATGTGCCGCGCGACATATGTTGCGCACAGCAGGACAAGGGTTAATTAAACAATACATAACGGAACTAAAAGATGGCATCTTTTGTGTGACAAAGCTTTTGTAAGATCTTTTTTTTTTCATACACTCAACGTTTTTTTCAGCTTGTTCATCAGATCATTGAGGACATCTGTACAAGGGAATTAGGAGTGATTGCTGACAATAAGATTGAGGAATTTGCACTTTACTCCATTGTAGAGCATGGGAAGGAGAAAGGTAGATACATGTACATGAACATATTTATTTTATGTATCTGGTTTAGAGGTAAAACTTGTTAAAACTTTGTTTAGGATTGCAACAACAATGTTTTACTAATAACTCGAAAATTATCATGTAGCTAAAAATCTTGCATCAAGAATAACACCAACAACTACAGTATAATAGAAAAGTGAAATAGACACTTGATACTGTAATACGGTAACATTACATGTACGTCAGGCCAGTACCACTTTGTAACTACCTACACAAAGAAACAAAGACCCTGTTCTGATTTACAAGTTATTTGACTGTCACTTGATCAATTTAGTTCAATCTGAAACAATTGTAAAAGTCAATATTCTCCAAGACAGTATATGCTGTATATTGTACATGTACAATATGTGCTGCCATGCACATAATATCACAATTTTTTCTGAGCTATCTGCAGATATTGTTGAAATGTTGTGATGTTGTTGTTTAGAGAATGAAGTTGAGATGCTGGGTAGGAAGGTTTACCTGATGGATGTGCTGACAGACTATGAGGGTGCAGGTCAGGAGTACACGTTGATCCTGAAGAAGGTAGTTTGGTACCATCCCATCAAACTGGACAATGAGAACTTGGTCACCGTGCTGTACCATCAGGTCAGTTCTCCACACAGCCCACTGTTGTTCAGAAGAGGATTTGTAGGACTACCCTGTTTTATTAAGAAACGGGGGCCAAGATTAAGAGGGTAGGATAGCTGTTGCTTTAGAATGATAGCTTTTGAGACCTGCATCATACATGTACTTGTAAATTATGTACCATCATGCTCACCCATGATGCATGGATTCAAAAGGCCAGGAAAAAGCATTTAATTTAGTATCCACACACCTTTCGTCGGTGACATTTAAGTGAAACCCGCCATTTTCCTGGAAGTCTAACGGGGGATGCCCTAACATCGGACACTTTTTCACGCACTCAAACTCATGGCATTCTATCGCTAGTTGTCAGAGAGTGGTCAGGTTTTGATGAATGAATTTTGAAAACATTAATGTCAACAACATACTTGGATAAGAAATTCATTCATACTATTCATGAGCCCTTCACGCTCGTATTACAAGTGACAAACTCTATCTGTGAGACCTTTTCGTGCATGTACCTCCATGAATGCGACTACACTGGACAGTAACATAGGACACTTTGGTAATTTTGCTCCCTTCAGGCGTTGATGAAATTAAGTAAACAAAAATAAGAATAGAATTTTATGATATTTTAGGTTTCTTTTGACAGTAAAATTGTGATTATGTGTACTTCTCGTCTCACTTGAGGAGGGTCGTATCTAATGCAATCGGTGCGCGTTTCCACTGAAAACTCAGCTTACGCAACCAATGCGATCCCAGGGAATCATGGGAAATGCAGACGACAGTGGTGTTGACATTGTTTTTCACGGGTCGGTTTTCTACATTTGTACAAAACAAACACTCACACCCACATATTTACTGTTAAGTAAAACTTTATTCCTTGTGTTTGTGGCAGTTGTGTCAAATCTTGGTACAGGTCATTTATTTCTGTGCACGAGCTGCTGCAATGCAGTGACCCACTGTCCAGCGCCATTGTTATGATTGGTGAAAATGACCGATACTCTCTTTTTCGACAAAACAATAAATGAATACTAGTATATAGAACTATACTTTGCATGCAAATAACAGCTGTATGCATTGACTATGTTTATTTGCCTTGTTAATTAGTGAGGTTAGTGGCAACAAACACGGCATACTTTTGCCGTCTGAAGTTAGCGCACATCCGAAGTTAGGGCACCCCCCATCATAGTGTCACTGACGAAAGGTAGTGGATTCCACCTGATGAAACGTCTGTTTTCAAATTCATATCGAGTTGCTTTAGCTGTTTTTTGGTGTATCTCACATTTTCATGTTATTGAATGTGTTGAATCTGCTCTTTTCTTGGGAATCCAACTTGAGTTTGCAGCAAAACTGTACCTTAGGCTGCTTGTCTAGGTTTGTTATGATACAATAATGCAGCATCAGCAGCCAGGTGAAAATGAATGCTTCTTGACCTATTCTTCAGATTCTCCCTGACTTTGTGAGCGGTCGGCTGGTGCAGGTACAAGGAACTAAGCTCAGCAAGCAGACAATGGTTAGACTTGACAATTGTGTAGAATAAGCAAATGTCAGCAAATGAACATTAAGTCTGGAGCAGTACTGATTTATTGGTTTGTGTAATAGTATGTCTTTCCAGTTGAATACATGAAATTTTGACAGTCCCCTATTATTAGATAATGCCTCCGTCTTAGTCTAGAAAGATTGAACTACATGCACATGTATGAGATATGAAACTTTATCAGATTCTGTTGAAATTGTTTACAAAGCATGACATCGCCAGACTGACAGCATTGGAATTCCGAGGAGGGGAAACCGTCAAGACAACCCCGACAATGTGAGTACAAATGACACTTCATATTTCACATTGTTGTTGACCCCTTTAAGGCAAATCAAGCTTAGAACATATAAAATGTGTTTCAAGCTTTATAATATGTTTATTGTTTCACTATAGGGGATCGTGAATAGAGGCAATCAGTGTAGGGGGAAAGAAATACATTTTGTACCTGTCCACTGTTTGTTTTTGTCTCCTCAAGTCTTTGGTCTCCTTCCTCTCCTGGTTTCTTCTTCTTTAAGTAGCATTTTGTTTGCTTGCATTAACTTGAAATGGCTGAAAAAGACTGGTGGTAAAATGGAAACTATGGGATGTATTTGCAATAGAAAATTACCTTTAAGTTAGTTATCTAGTGTTTGGACGCCAATTTTGTGTTGGGATATAGGATATTAGGATTTTCTTATGCACAAACAGGTATTCTTCCTACCTTCCTAAGGTTTGTACCGACCTGATGAAATTATTTTCGGAAGTCTGTGTTGCAATGTTCTTTTGAATGCTATCAGTATCACCTTTACATTAATTTTGTAATTGAGGCCTGAAGCTAGATTTTTATGAGAACTTTACATCTTGACAAAAGGCAGTTGCACATTTACTCACAGTAATTATGTTTCTCCCAAGGAGCTGGTGGCTGATTTCCTGTATTAATGTGAGGGATCTTACTTGTAGTTCTAGCCATGGTGTAAGTCTGAAACCTGTCTCTTCTGTGTGGACCCACAGGGCAGACATCCAGAGTGCTTTGCCTCAGAACTGTGTCAACATGCAGAAGATTCAACAATGGGCCAACATGATCCACTCCTATCTGAACCACGTTGTACGACTCTCTCCCAACCAGGCCAGGGTTCAGTTCATAGGTGTGTGCTTAAGAAAAAAATCATAGAAAAAGGCGTATCAACAGTTTTAATGTTCTTCATGTTGAAAATGTCTAGTGTCCTTGATGTTAAGAGATATAAGCTCAATTTTCATGTATTTAAAAATGTACATAGTCATGTATATGTATCATGTACATACTAGGCTCTGAAAAATTCAATTGTAACTTCTATTACAACTCTTCAATGGAAAGAGTTCTAGATAAAGCATGAACCCTAGCCAATATTGTTTTAGCATAGTTCATGGCTCCATTACATGCAAAGTCATGTATCAAACAAGGCAAGCTCAGGAAAACGTCCTGCCACTGATTGGCAGGGAATTTTGGTGTGAGGGTAAGAAACCCGCAAGGTTATGTTGGGATATACCAGCTCCTCCTCCCATGTGCTATACCTACACTAATGACTAAGCTTAAAGCTACGGTCACAACCCGCCGTACATGCCTCTGCGTGCTGTCTACGTGCAAAAACGTGGGCAAACGTAGGGCATCCGTGCGTGGTGAGTACCGCTTCCGTACGGAATCCTACGGATTGGGGACCACGCAGACATGCCGCAGAAATTTAAGTGCATGTGAAACTCTTTCTATGTGCGGTCTGCGGATTCACCAACCCGTGCGTGCGAGTATGAGCGGCGCACGTGCCATAGAAGAAGCATGTGTGAGTACGGCCTCCTTACAATTGTGAGTACGGCCTCCTAAAGTTGCAATCGCACAGAGATCGTACGTTGAAGCACATACAACTCACTTACCACTTGCGCAACATACGATGCACGCAACCGCTCACGGCCAGACTTGGCGTGCAGACTACACTCTTATACACTTTGTGCCACCGTGCGAGTGACGTGCGTCGATGGCACTCCTTCCCCACATTTTCAGAAAAAAACGTAGCAGACGTAGCCTCCAAAAAAATGTACGGAGAAAAAGCACGTACGGCGGGTTGTGACCGTAGCTTAAGGGATGAATGACATAGCACTAACAACAGCCCTGAAATCTGAATCACCATAGGAACCATCATGCAGTGGCCTCTGTTCGGATCAAGCTTCTACAGTGTTGATGTGAGTACATGACATTATTATGATTATAATAAGTTAGAAATAAATCATCATTACTATATTGTACATTTTGCTTGTACACGTGCTACGGTTATGCTTACGTTATGCATGAAACCTTTTATGATACTACTTTTAGGTTTTTATAATCACTACATTTAAATTTTTGAATTGGAGGACAGTCTAGGTGTAATATTGGTCATTAACTGTTTGGAAGGCTTCCAATATGTGATAACATTACTGATCTTCATGGAGGCTTTGCTACTGTTTGAAAAAAGGTTGGAAATAGTTTCTCCAGCTGAGTGTTGAATTATCATTCCAGCATTTTATAAAAAATCTCAACATCTTCAGTCTGATTGTGAAGGATTCCACCCAAGGTGCCTGACTATGTTAATTTTCATTAAGTTTTAATGGGGAGTATTATGATTGTTGTTGTTGTGATTGTTCTTTTCACAGAGTACCACTGAGCCTCAGGCCAAAGACGGATGCCTGGTCGCCATTAATAAATCTGGCATTCACTTTCTCCCAGAATCACATGTGAGTACTCCCAGATTTACTTTGCTGATAGGTTAGGGGAAGTACCACAAAGTCTGAGTGAGGTCCATGGAGGTCAGTTTGGTCCGAACAAAGTGAAAAAAGTTGTGTTAAGTGCCTTTCCCAAAGGCACAAGAGGGGTGGCATGTCAGGACTCAAACCCGGGACCTCTTGGTTCCGAGTCGAGCACTCTGCCATTATGCCACCCAACCTCCTCTAATTTCACAGCAGATGTCAAGAAGAGGCAATCCTTTCAGTTCAGTATACAAGTGTTTCTGTCAAATTAAATTTCTCATTGTGCTCTCAAGAGGTCCATTTGATAACAATCTTTATGGTCACTGTGGATTTTTAAATATTAAAAAACTACCATGCTAATATTTAACTAATAACATATATGACAGCAAAATAAAAGCTGGTGTTCCTTCTCATTGTTCCTCAAGGTTCCGATTGTCAGCTATGACTTTTCCAACCTGGTGTCCACTCGCAAGCTGCGGACTAAAGACGGTGTTGGCTACTTGGACATCAAACTTGGGAACATGCTGAGTCAACGGGTCATCAGACTGGAGACTGAGCAGGTACAAACAAAATGCCTCCCCTATTCAAGAATGAATTCTTCCAGTGACCCCTATATTAACTTATGGTCCAGATCAAAATACTTCCACCCACAACCTCTGAAAACATAATCTTCTTAGCAAAGGTAAAGAAATGGCTGGAGAAGAAGAAACATATGGGTAGAATCGTTATTTTATTCTATACCTGGTATGGACTGACGTAAGAAAATTGATTATAATGAAAGCTGATGATTCTGAATTTTTGTTGTTTTTGTCTTGAAGGGCGGTGAGATTTCTTCTCTCATTCAACAGTACATCAGCATCATCATCGCTGAGAAGGGTCCTCCAACTAACAGCAAGTAAACATGATAGACATGACATCACCGGGGCAATATTACAGCAGTTCCTGACATCTGGCATGTTTAGTTAACTCACATCACTAGCAGACAATAGTGCACAATAGTGCACATTGTTCTTCAAAGTCAGACTGAACTGTCAGCCTTTTGTAGTGATAATAATAATCATTAATCATGAGTTTATGTGCGCTGGTGTAAATACATAATATTATATGTGTATGTTAATCTCAGCATTTGTTTATTTGAATACCACAATTGTGAAAGGGAGGACACAACAGGAGCACCTTTACAAGTTGTCCTCCCCAACACTGCAATATAAATACAGATTACAACAATGAACATTAATAACATAAAATACAAATACATACAATATCATACATTTAACATGGAATACTGGGCATTGAGTTGAATGTGCTATCTGAATAAGAAAGGTTCAAGAAATGAACATAATTACAGGTGTTCTTTACATTACACTATGATGTGATCAGTTGCAAATTTGAGTAATTATGAAATATGCACAGCAAATGATGTAACTGGTTCCAATTTTTCGATTATTTTTTGTCAGAGGACACACTGTGCTTTCCTGATAAGATAGCCTGTTTGCTACCAAACTCACTTTGGTTATGCATGGAGTTAGACAACAAGGAGACACACACAATCAAGATTAGCCTTAGTACTGACCACCTTCCACACACAACCAGGGCTGGCCTTAGTACTGACCACCTTCCACACACAACCAGGGCTGGCCTTAGTACTGACCACCTTCCACACACAACCAGGGCTGGCCTTAGTACTGACCACCTTCCACACACCACCAGGACTGGCCTTAGTACTGACCACCTTCCACACACTACCAGGACTGGCCTTAGTACTGACCACCTTCCACACACTACCAGGACTGGCCTTAGTACTGACCACCTTCCACACACCACCAGGACTGGCCTTAGTACTGACCACTATCCACACAGAACCAGGACTGTCCTTAGTACTGACCACCTTCCACACACTACCAGGACTGACCTTAGTGACCTTAAGCTGTTCACAGACTGACACACAGACAGACACACTGCATCAAAAACACAACCTTTCATATTTTCAAATGAACAGATTGAAGCGGCTTCCATGGAAGGGTGCAACATTTTCCACTTACAGCTGCAATGGTTGAAGTGCCTATGATATTTATGGCATGTCATTGTGGAGATTGGTTTTTACAAGGGCTGGAACTGAACCTTCTCACCACTGGTGTTAGAAAGCAAATGTATAGGTCATTGTCGGTCAATATATAGACAAGCCTATATAATGTAATAATCCATGTATTTATTTATGTGATATGTGTTTTCATTGCATGGATATTATAGTGTGTCAGGTTAATTTACATAATTATTGAACATGACATTGTACAATTTGTATTGACTACTGTCATGTTTTTATCTTATCTTTGTGCGATAGACAGTGTGTTGTGTGTGTGTGTGTGTGTGTGTGTGTGCACGCGCGAGTGTGGTGAGTCTGTGTGTGGTGAGTCTGTGTGTGTGTGTGGCGAGTCTGTGTGTGGGTGTGTGTGTGGTGAGTCTGTGTGTGTGTGTGGTGAGTCTGTGTGTGTGTGTGTGTGTGGTGAGTCTGTGTGTGCGTGTGTGTGTGGTGAGTCTGTGTGTGTGTGTGTGTGGTGAGTCTGTGTGTGTGTGTGTGTGGTGAGTCTGTGTGTGTGTGTGTGTGGTGAGTGTGTGTGTGTGTGTGTGGTGAGTGTGTGTGCATGTGTCTTAAAAAAAGTTTAGCCTAGTAGTATGTCACAAATGTAACAATATCAAAATTAAGACACAAGTTTGCAAGTAATTTCCAACACAAGAAATTGGACTCACCCAAATTTTCGACTGTACAACTCCAGTCTTTGTCAAGGAATGAGCAATCCACCGCTTCCGTGACATCACACAGATAACACACACGACTCCGTGAGCAGTGGATCATAGGTTGCAGAAAGTCAAGACCTGGTTTAGACCAACTAGAAACTTATACTACAGATTTACAGTACAGAGATGGGCGAATCAAAATGAAATCTTTATAGCTAAGAAGCTTTTTTCTAGTCTGTGTTTTACGGCATGGAACGTGGGGTTGACATTGCTAATAGCGGTGAAGAAAGGATAATATTTTGCTTGTAAGATGTTCAATGTTCTAATAATTGTTTTGGAGGGGGAAAAGTGACCATAGATAAATTCATTGTTGGAGAGACGCGCGGGATGCTTTTTTCCACCAGTCAATAAACTCTTTCCAGAAATATTTGGTGGTGTGGCATTCAGCAAATAGATGTGCTATTGTTTGTTTTTCTTCACAATATGGGCATTGGTCGTCACAATATGGGCATTGGTCGGAGTATTTTTACCTTCTTTAAATATACATTAGTAGTCAAGAACCTGTGTAAAATCTTAAATTGAAAGTACTGTATTTTGGTTTGTTTTGAGCAAATGTAACGTATTAATCTTTGACTTTTCCAGTATGACCTTTGATTTGACTTGGATTTATGTTCATTCTCTACTTATGTTTCAATTATGTGACCTTCTATACGGGTGTCTTATATGGGCTGGGCGACAATGTCCCAAGACACAATAAGAAAATTCATTCACATTTATACCTGTTGCAAATCCTGAATACATCACCATTGAAGAAATGTATGAAATACAAGACAGCAATCTGATTAATGATGATTCTGATTAATGATAGGAAGATCATGGTATTTTCAGTACCCACTGAATACATTTGTAGTTATAATGTTTTGAAGAAGAAACATTGGATATTCATATGAACCTGCTTGCCAAAATATGCAAGAATGGCAATAATGTAATTTTTCTTACTGGTGATTGATCTGACATTGAAAGCTATTCAATTCTCAAGTTGGTCATGACCTAATCTTAAAGAACACAATGTAACTGAGATTAAGATTTGTTTATTTGGATGTTCACATGTAAAAGGGAGGGTAAAACAAGTACATACGCACTTTTGCAAGTTGCCCTTCACAATATGGATCTCAGTAACAAACATCACCTACAGTATTGTACATATATATATAACATACATGTATTACCTTATGAAAAATTTAAAATGTTCTCCAGTATTGTACATACATGTATATAACATACATGTATTGCCTTATGAAAAATTTAAACTGTTCTCCAACTCATAAATTTTCCTCACCGGAATTTTCAACTGAATCACTCAGTCTTCCTCAGCTATCTGACCCAAATGCTGTGGACACATGATTTTTTCCCACGCGTGACATCAGCAAAGGGTCAAAGGTTGTCTGAAGTCGATATCGCCCCCCGTCCCGGTTGAGCGAAGGTTGAAGATTAGTGCCCTGACAACCTTTGACCCTTAACTGACGTCACGAGTAGGAAAAATCACACGAAAATTCCGGTGAGTGAAATTTATGAGTTGGAGAACAGTTTAAATTTTTCATAATCATGTAATTTACCAACTCAGATGAACTTTCATGCTGATACATGATTGTATTACTGTTATCTTCAAACATGCGATATTCTTCTACAGCAATTATAGCGTATTCCAGCATTCAACAATTTTGTTTCATTTCACTTTCAAAAGTTTTTAAAAACTTCCATAATATCATTGCTTCCACATTTTGTCAGCCAAAAGTGCCTGTCCCAGACATTCACTCAAGCAACGAAATGTTACAAACCTTCCTAAGATTTGGGACTTTGTAAGAAATGTATCAAGACAACATGTTAGAGCACAAAACAATTCACCATGATTATGATACACCTTACTTGCTGCTCACCTTGTCAAAAGATAATTCTATTCTGTATATTTATACATGTATAACATAAATTTTCTTTTATTATAAGTACTAACAATACTTTGCAATAGCTACCACATTTTTCAGACGAGACTTCTAGAGGAGTAATATAACAACAGAGTGCAGAAGACCGGCGTTGTATGTATGATATACACTGTAGTAACCATGTGTAAGACTCTACACAGGAGGCTGTGGCATGCCGACTTGTGGAGGTGAAGTCTGTGTGCAGACTGGGCAGCTGGACCGGCACATGGCTCTCCTGCACATCCTGCAATACAGCTGGGCTTCACAGGACGGACAGAGCCAGACATGGCCACAAGTAAACACAACCTTCTCTCCACACCTCCTACAGTAGAAACCACAAAACAGACAATACTCCAGGTTCTGCACAGTCATATAATATTATCAAGTTTATCAATCTTGTTCATGGTTTTTATAGAATTAAGCTATGTATAGGTCAGATCCTTGCCAGCTTTTTTTACACGCAATAACCGATTCAGCAATGATCAGCAAGCAATGGTGATTGTATGAAAGAGGGCACTGCAAATTGGACAATGGCCGTTATGGTGCATACATGTATATACTGGTCTATCATCATTGATCAATAATAGGCCCACCTGATTGTAATGTTTCACTCACAACATAATCAACCAAAACAAAAAAGCTTAAACTTCAATGATTGGACCATTGAAGAAAAATGGAGCTGATTCAGTAAATTTAGGTTCAGGGTTGTCCTTAGGTTGAGGCAGTACTCATGCAATTAGTCAATTCTGACCCACTTTCATACAATTACTATCGCTGAGTTGCACGCAAACAATATAAAGTACACACACGTTTGCACTTAGACACATACATGTACAAAACATGTATCAACATCCGTGTGCACAAAAGTACATGCATACACACACACACTTATAAACACTCATTTGAAATGTATCCTTGAAATATCTCCAGGATATAACTTGTACTCATACTTGTTGCACATGTGGCAGAGACACGAGCTAGACTTCCTGCCCAGGCCTACATGCACATGCTCAGCAGTGGTCCTAGGTACTGGTGCCTCCCTCGGGATCAGCCCTGTAGAAAGCATATAAAGGACATTGTATGGCCAAATGTACCACAGACTGTTGCCTCAGTCTGTAATGGTGATGGTATGCTAAAGTCTTTCCTAGCAGTAACAATTAAGTGCAAATAACCTGATGCTGTGACTTTGGACAACCTGGCATTAGACTTTGAAATCTTAAGTTTGATTTTAGTAGGACAGTCTTTTTTATTCTATTATAAAATAGTAACCAATTACACTTCATGAGTAATTAACTGCCAACATGCACTCTACATTAAATTAGCGTTGGCCAGTTACTTAATTAAATCACAATTAGGCCATGTTGATTTGATTATATGGATGACATCCGCGCGCGCATGAATTTTTGGCCGTTTCCAAAAAAAAAAAGTTTTCAACCATACTGTAAATCGTACAAAACAGTTGCAAAATGAGCAAAAACATACCATAAGTTACCAAAAAAATTAATAAAAACTATACCAATGTCGTAGAATGCCAAAATCAAACGATGAAAGACGAAATTGTAAAGAAATGAACTTGAAGACTAGATTATTCGCCAAACCATATTCTGTGCCATATGCTCAACCCTCATGACCACGTAGATTTCATTATGAAAAGAATTTTTTTTTTTTTGCAAAACTTTTTTTTTATTCGCACGCTCGCATCAGTTTTGGGGCTCCCGGAGGATGTCATCCATATAATCAAATCAACATGGCCTTAGAATCATAAACAAGACAACTCAATGACATGAAACTAGATGTCAGAGATCTCATGCCTTCGTCGGAGGGACATTGTTCTAGATAAATAAACATGTGTATTCTTTACTTTTTTTAATGATCAATTTGGTCTGGAGTACAAAAGAATCTCTGTACTCCATGACTCCTTTTTTTATTCTACAGAACACCATTAAGGGGTTCGCCACAGCTTTGCAGACGCACCGTCACCCATGTTAGCGTCACCCATGTTAGGTCCCCCTAAGTTATTTGATTTTGGACTGTTACTGGAAAAAAAATTACTGTTACAAGAAATTCTGCTCACTGTATTATCAAAGTGTCACGACAGTGTCGCAAAATGTAATAGAAGATGTGATGAAAGGAAAGAATCAGAACAGGGCGACTACTGCTGTTTAGAAGAGATTAAGTGCTGTTGTTATGACGAATAATAGACTTGTTTGTTGTTACACTATGTTATTTTATTCAATTTGTGTCCTAATATTTGTATTTCTACCGTTAGTATATTCCAAATCTATACACTCAGGCATCTTGTTTTTTTTTAGCCCTTCATGTATTTTATCACGCTTTTGCCACTGTACATGATGTAGTTATAGAACATCCCTTCAATGTAAGTAACTGATCCCAGATGGGGTTCCCCAGCTGTCCCCCAACTGAATCCAAGCAGAGGTTGGTGGGGGAAGATTGTTAATTTCCAACACAAAAGGTCCACTGCAGCGACATAGGGTCCCTATGTTGCAGCAGTGGACCTTTTCAAACTTGACCTCAGTCTCCACAACTTGCCTACCAAAAATCATAAACATCCATTGAAATATACTGGAGTTATCCTGCTATTAAACAGGCGACAAACACAAAAGGTCCTGCAGTGACGTAGGGACCTTCCATGAAACCCATTTTTGTACTTGACATTGGTCTCCCCAATGGTAACCTGCCTGCCAAAAATCGATTTTATAACCTTCTCCAGGCAATAATGTCAAAGTGCTTTCAAAAGATTTCAAAGAATACAATGAAAAGCTCAGCAGCTTCTGTTGAACAAAAGAAGGTATTTAACGATCACATGACACCAATAACACAGAAATGCAACTGAAAGTAGTCAGATGTGATCCATCAAATTCTGTCAATGATGTCACGGTGAGCATGACGGCCAATTCAGAACCCGCTACCACGGATTGTAAATAACGTTCCTTCCAGAAGCAAACAACTATACATTATCATCATGACTAGTACATACAATTGCAAGCTATTATATTATCATAATGATTCCATTTGTTTGCTTCTGAAATGAACATGTTTCACCAGCCACAGTGCCAGGTTCTGACCCAGTCGCATGCATGCTCACTGTGACATCCTTGACAGAATTAAAATGGATTAACTGGGGGCAGAAATCAAGAACTGGAAGCATGATTTGCAATCATATACGATTCCCCCTAACATCAAAAGTGTACTTTTGGTCCAAGCGTTCTTGTTCATTGAATAATACCTATCACGTTTGGCTACTTGCATTTTACATTTTAGTGTTATTGGTGTCATCAAGAAATCAAGTGAATCATCTATTGAAATAAGTCCATACCCACGAATCGAGCCTACATGTACATGTCTAATATATGTAGATGTGTCCAGTAAACAGTGTACTCACCCACAAGTTGGACTTTCCTAATGCCAATACTGAGGCACAAGCCAAGCCACAGGTGCTGAGACAGATCAAATACATGTAGGATGAAGCGGTCTTCTTCATTATTCCTTTGGCAGTACAGGGTTCCTTCATCTGTTAACCTGATGGGCAATATTTCAATCAGACATGTCTGTTCCATAGTTCATGCCTTCACCAACAGTTGTTTTCTATTGAAAATGAAATGTCATGGAGGTTACATTTGCAATTGCATTTGTCTGTTACTATACTAGTATTCTGTCTGATGGTCAACAAGATAACTCAAGAATGGCTGGCTGGATTGGTGGTACTTGCTGTGTTGGTAGGGTGCAACAAAAACTGGAAATGAACTTTGGGCCCCCTAGTGGCTTTCCTTGATACTGCAGCAGAACTTCTGGTTTTAATATCTCGCAATCTGGACATGCTAGGGTCATGATGGTAGGTAGCTCAGGAAGAAATCACCTGAGTTAAGGCCCCCTAGAAGCTTGTTCTGGAACTGCAGGACGGTTTGTTTAAAAATCTTGGAGGGAGGATAACTAAACAACGGTTGACAGATTATCATAATTTTTGTCACCTTGGACAGGCGGTCGCATGAAGAGGGTTGCCTCACAACATGACTGAGGCATAAATGGTTTCCAAGTCGAGATGTTTTAATGTCAAATGCTGTAAGCATCTTCAGTTCTGTGGTGAATGCATGTGGGGAGGGTGGCACATGGAACAATTTATGACTGGTTCTCCATGATTTCTCATTAGTTATCATCAATAATCAACATGATCAAAAATGATGTGGTCACCATGGGCAGGCATCGGGCCTTGAGTGGACCTAACTCAGGGTGGTTGCAGTCGTGTTGACCAAGTGGTCACGTTGGACAGGTTGCTTAATGCCTGCATCAATGGGGAAAATTTTGGGGACCGAGAAAAAGCGGTCACCATGGGCAGGTGGCCAGCTTGAAGAGGTGGTCACCTTGGTAGATTTGGCTGTAGGTAGCTTAAGTGATGCTTGACATACTAAAATTACAATTATGGAAATCAGGATCTAATGTGCATAATCAATGAAAAGTTCTATAAATCTGCTGTGTTCAATAATATAGCTATGAAACTGTTGACAATGGCAGCTTTTGATTGTGTAAATTAAGATCTAATTTGCATAATTGCATGAATGGAAAATTGCTACAATTTTGTAGTTGGTAACTGCTGGGAATTTAATACTTGCCATATTTGGAAGTTCAGTGGAGGTGAACACCACAAAACAATTTATTCAAATCAGGAACTCATTTGCATGATTTAGGAGGAAATGCTAGAATAGCCTCATTTTTCAAGCTGTCATTGGGTGGAGAATATGATCAACTGATATAATTCATGCAAATGAGGCTCTTATAATATGCATAATCACAGTGGAAAAAAGGGTTATTAGTCAGTTTGACCAGTTTGACATGATTTGGCGAAGGTATGAGGTCGTAGAACTGTTGTTGGGTATGAAACCTGAAACTTAATCTAGTTTGCATATAACAATATCAAACCTAATGTCCATGCCAAATGATAAGGATTTCAATAGTGTGATGCATGTTACTACATGTAGGTATGGGCCATGTAAATACTTTGCATGAAAATTTTGCTTATGAGCAGGATTGTACTATTAACTTTAAGCCATTTACAGATGGTTATCACCATGCTTAAAATATACAAAGCAATAATCATTTCATGAGGTATGAAATCAGATTGAGGAACTCTAGTTCTACATGTATGTGTTAAACCTTAATAACCTGAATGAACAAACTCATTTAACTCAACACATACTCAGTGTACTCAAACATAAAATGATATCTACCTAACGGGAGGGGTCCTAATTCCGACCCATGTTCCATGCAACAAACACACCTTTCACAAATTGGTAATAGTTTAATTGACCAAAAACCCGCGCAACATGAGCTATAATATTGATAAAGATCACAACGATGAAAGCTGCACAGCTGTGTATTTCACTTCAGTGTAGCGTCTTGCACCCAAGCGTAATGGTTCACGAAACTTACGGCTGGTTTTTGGTTATTTTGCCGGTGGAACGTTCCATCGCAATATGAATACCCATTCCTGTGGCTATTCATATGCAGAATGATGCACCCAGGTATGCCGCAACAAGGATTTTTCGAACTAGTCCGGAATAATAATTGTTTATTGATTGATGGGTACAATCTCTAGCATGTGCATCTCTAGTACTATTATACTAGAATTAGGGGTAGGTCGGAATTAGGGCACCCCCCGTTAGGCCATACCGACTTAATTTTATGGATGACATCCACGCGCGCATTGATTTTCGTCTGTTCTTTAAAAAAAATAAAAGATCACGTCCCCCCGAGGATATTTGTCATGCTGTTACTTAATATACATTTCATGATAAAAGTACCAGTAGTATTTGTGAAGTTTTTTCCAGTTTCATTAACTTTTTTTGCATACACAACTTTTATAATAAATTTTGGGACTTTTCTGCTATTTTCAGCCCTGGTATTCTGGTATTCAGAAGCCAAATAACCCGAAATTTGGTATCTTTTGGGTTCTGCTACGATATCATTTTATGAAAGCCAAATGAGCTGGACTGTGGTATGGTGGTACGTAGGTTTTGCAGAGATAGGTAAGGATTAACTTTAATGAGTCCATTTTGCAAATGAAAACACATGATGTCTATCAATGTCTGTATCTTCTTCAACCTAATACGTCATGTACAATGTATACACTTCTCATTAATCATGCAAATTTTAGGTGAAAATTGTAGAAATGAGGTTAAACTTTGTACATCAAAGGCAACAGGATTCCATCAAAACCCTGACACAAATGCACAGCAGGAGAACATTATGTACTACTAGGCACTGGTTACCTGATGAAGAGGAGGTCACCAGGCTTCAGGCCCTGCAGCACACCAGACTCAAACCAGGCAGGGGACTTGGAGCTCGGACTCAGGCATCCAGTTGGGAGGGACATTTGTGACAGCATGGCTGGGTCAGTGGTGGTTAGGCACATGTATAGAATACTCATTCTTTTATCAACTCTCTTTATCTTCAACACAATGGTGTCCTCAGTACGTAATGGATGGGATAAGAAAACAAGCCCATCCTGAAGGGAATGAGAAGAATCTTTGTACAGAGCTGTGATCTTGTGTCCTGTGTTATTGGTCTCAAGATTAATCTTCTTCCCGTGATGATCATGAAATCCACATGGACAAAGGAGGTTGATTCCAAGTTTACTGAATTTGGAGTGTATGTGCAAGAAAGATCCTGAAGGATCTACAAAGTCTACATGTTTGACCCTCCTGTTAGGTAGGACCCATTCAGGATTTGCTAAGTATTTAATCATTGCCATCTCCAGTGCTTGTCTTCTTCCTGCCAGCCATGCCCAGGACATTAAAGGTGTGGCACTGTCCTGGTATGTTTTGTTTCCTATGTTGTGTGTGTCTTTCTTCCATGGTTTAACCCTATCAGTGCTTCCTTGTGTTGAGGAGGTCCCCCTGATGTCTGTGGACGCTGTGATTACAGAGGATGCTGGTCCTGTTGAGAAACTGCCAGAGGGGCTGACAGCCTGCGGAGGTCTGTTCCATCCTGACAATCGTTGGTGACGCGGGTCAGAATGTTGAGAAGCAGTGGATGCTGGGTAAAGGCTGTGGGCTTTGGAACTCCTGCCATTGGGATGTTCAGGCATTACACTGGTGGGAACTCTGCTACTGAGGCAGTACACATCATGTTCTCGGTCTATAGCACTCCTAAATGAACACAGAAACAATTGCCCAAGTATGCTTTAGAATCAGCTTAGACCCCTGGGCAACCAAAAAAGGTTATAATTCAGTCAAATATGGTAAATTTTGCACTTAGCAGTGCTATGCAACATCACTGGACAAAATATCAGCTATAATATGGGACATGTACAAGACCACCAGTAGGACTTCAACTATCAATATAATTCTGCTTAATATACAAAAACATTGTCTCGTGTACCCACCTTGCTCTATATTGTATTCGTCCTCTACTAGGACTCCTCTCAAACCAGAACTTCTCTGTCATTGCTGGTACGTCTTGTTTACTGTAAACAGCAATTTGGTGATTCAACAATGTTCAACAGCTAACTAAACACACCCACAGGTACTGACTTACTGACGTTACACAGCAGTGTTACTTAGGTAGTCACTTTTTTACCGCATGCTGAAAATTGGCCAGTATTAGAGGCTGAAATGATTCCACTTTCAGTGGGATCAATGGTTTGTTGACAGGACTGAAAAAGCCATCCAGCTACATGTAGGACTTACAAGTGGTCATGAGGGGTGTATCTAAAGTAGTCAAACAAATCAAGTCATTCTCTAAAGGAAAAGATAGTTCTACCTGGGCAACTCTGGTACATATATTAGTTTTGACTACAATATTTCCAAAGGATGGCTGAATTCTTCACAAACATGAAGTTAACATCAACTCTTCTTAATTTTTCCTCCCTTCGTGGAATGGTTTCAACTGTACTACAGTACTGTAATGGTAGATCACAATGATGTAAAGGTTGCTATGGGAGACCTAAACAATGTTGTGATGAAAGTCAATACAGCTAGTCCTTGTTTATTCTTGATACCTGATAGGACCTTGGTTTACATACTGAATGGGCTAGCCTGATGAAATACAGTCAATGTAGTATCACTTTCTATGATACTAGAGTAGCGTACATGTACAAGCACTCTCGTACAAAAACGAATGCTTTATCCAAAGGAAATGTGGAGAACCAAATGTCAGATTCTATCACTGTTGTTTATGTACTAGTTAGTTATGTTCACAGACTGTTTCAATAGTTGGTGGTTGAGGGTCCAGTGCGTGTTGTGTACATTTGTATTGTACAGTACATGTGTATGTGTGTAGTATACACGGAAGTTTACACGTGAAGTAGAAAATTTAAGCCAATACAATGTATCGTTAGCAATCTCAAAATTTCTCTCATCTCTCACATTCCACATGTGTACAGGTTGCCATACATTGTACCTGATGAAATTGTCATGCAAAACGTTATTTCAAAGTTCTTTCTTCATAAAAATGAGTGCAAAAAATACATCATCAGAAATTGAAGTTATGTGTGAAAATTGTACAATGAACTTTTGTAATAAGTTGTACAGTAGCTTATTACCTGATACCTAATATATGATGCCATGTAAGTAACAGAGCTGAAAACTAGAGTTCCCCGATCTCATACCTTTGCCAAATGTTCATCTTTATGGCTGACAAATTATAGATTATTCCCCCTGATTGTGCAAATAGGATCCTCATTTTCACGAATTATATCAGTTTATCATATTCTCAACCAAAAGACAGTCTTATGGCTCGTTCTCATTGAAATGTACAAAATGGTGATTTTTAGGGTCGAAGAATTGATGAACTGTTTTCTCAGGGAAACCTACCTTATTTTTAGGAAAACGTCCCAATTATTGATTACCAAAGGACAGCTTAATTTCCATGGGAACTTACCGAAAATCTATGCACTTACATGTATTTGTACATGTAGATAAGACATATGTAAACAATGCAATTTTTAGTGCAGCAAAAACACTGGAACATCAACATGAAATGGGTGTACGATAAAGCTTGTATTCATGGCATCACTTTAAAAGCCATTAGTTTAGGCGTCAGTATCTATAAATTGTACTTCTGTCAGCCCATTACATACTGGTAAATATACATGTATAGAAGTAGGAATAGTTTGTTTTGAAGCAAAGAAGAGTGAGTCTGTTGATGCCACAAAGGATTATTTTTCTTTGGATGCATATTTTTTTCTACTTTATTTCCAACCATGGTGCAAAGGGAAGGGAAGTTCAATCTCTTGTTACGTCTTTTCCGCTACAGGCGTAACTTTGGTTACTGGATGTTACAAAATGGACATTTTGCTTTTTTTTCTCCAAGAAGTTCAGCAGTTTTTATCTTCATCCTTTGAGAGCAAGGGGGCATAAGTAAGGACATTTAAAAACTGGGTAACTTTTTATATACCGGGTGATGTAACTGCAGTACCATAACAAGCCACTAGGGGGTCCAAAATCTAATCATTATGAGGTCCCATCAAGACCTACCCACCTACCAAGTATCAAGACAATCCATTTAAGCCTTCTCAAGTTATCGTGTCCTGTGACGGAAGGACGGACAGAAGGAAGGAAGGACACACACATACACGAATGCCTCTGAAAACATAACCTTCTTGGCGAAGGTAATAAACATGTTTTCATTGCCTGGATCAGGTCTAAAGTGACAAAACGAATAGTGAACACAAGAGGGAAAATCCTACATTTACTTACAAAATGAAGTCTACAAATACATATTCTGTGTAACAGATTGGCATTGTAGCTGCACAGCACACAAAAGTCACCACAGGTTTTTGATTCTACTCCAAAGTTGAAAAAACGGCTCCAAACACTGGTGATGAAGTTATGAAGGCCATATTCTCGCCTCACTTGTCAATCTGTACAGAAGAGGTTAAACATTTTTTTTGTCATATCAATTTGTTTTGTTCTTACCCGAGACTGGGGAAAAGGGGTCCAACATCGAAGTACAAGAAACAACTATATAGTGACTGTGCTCCAACGCTTGGAGAAAGAAGGTGGGTTGAACAGGATTTCTCATGGACAATTATATCCAACTACAGAGGTTCCCCCTAAGTTTTACGGTCTTCCTAAAGTACACAAAACTGGTATTCCACTGAGACCAATAGTGAGCAGTATTGGCTCAATCACCCTTGCGCCAAGTTCTAGGCAGATACTTTGTCCCCCCTAGTTGGTAATACAGTGCACCACATTAAAAACTCACAACTGTTTGTAGAAACGTTCATACGACGTTAATTACAGCTCTGTTCACCTCAGTGCCAGTAGACAAAGTAGCTGATGTAATTTTGCAAAGACTGAAAGAAGACAGCACTCTTCCACAACATTCCAAACTATCCCCAGAACAGTTGGTGGACTTGTTGAAGGTGTGTCTTAACTGTACTTACTTTGTGTATGATGGTATTTTCTACAAACAAATCCATGGAGCTGCCATGGGGTCACCTGTGTTGTATGCAATCTATACTTAGAGCATTTAGAACAACGATGCCATTAAATCTGCCCCACACACCCGTGTGGTGGTACAGGTATGTTGACATTTTTACCAAGCTTAAGAAGGCGTACGCACAAGAGTTCACAGAACATCTAAATGACCTTGACCCTGACATAAAATTCACATTTGAAGAGGAAGAGAATCCCTGCAGGTTAAGATATACCGCAAACCCACACATACTGACCATTCTAATGACCCCCTGGATCATAAACTCGGAGTTATCCGCACCCTGTTTCACAGAGCGGAAACAATTATTACTGACCCTCAAGATTTAGAGGAGGAGAAAGTTCACATTTCACAGCCACTAAGACCCTGTTCACAGTGAAAAAAATGGATCTGGATTGATTGCCATCGGGATCAAAATTACGGAAATGAAGTCAATCCGGATCGGTTTTTGCAGTGTGAATGCTCCAATCCGGATTGATTTTCTCCGATCCAGATCCAAAAGTAATCCACCTCGAGGAGGTAGTGCAAGACACTTGCAGTGGATCAGGATCGGGCGTAAACTTGAGTGTGAACGCAAAGTGGATTGGGTTCGGGGTTCGCTGGTGTGAGACTACCACAAATACCACAACCAATCAGGTCTTATAACATGCAGTGACAAGAACGTTGTGTAATGCTATGGATACATTGCCAATCAAATATGAATAGGAAATACGCAGATACATGTTTACCCCAACCTCCATGCCAAAATGTTACACTCAAGTGGAATGGCGTCTCAGCCAGTGGAATCGAGTGTTACAACCTGAAAAATATCGGCCTTCACGCAACGGGAGCTAAACCCTGACCACCCAAACATGTTCAAAGAGGTGTTCTCTTTATTTCTGCTAAGATTCCAGGCTGTACAAACTTTCTGAGTTCCTTTCTTGCAAAATTTACGGCGGAGTTGCAGTGACTATGGCATGTTCAAGATGGCAGGCTCGTGACACCTCAATCCATTTCTGAGCATGATGTGCGATGCAATCCGGTTCGGCAAAAAGCAGTGTGAACGCGCGGGTCGATCAGGATTGATGAATTTCTGATCGGGATTGGCAGTCAATCCAGATCCATTTTTTTCACTGTGAACAGGGTCTAAGAAAGTGTGGGTACCCCACTTGGGCTTTAGACAAGGCCAATAGACCAAAGCCCACAGACAGTAACCAGTGTCAGAGCAAGAACAAAAGCCCAAATAGAGGCCTAGTTGCTCTGCCTTACAGGAAAGGCCTTAGTGAAGGGCTCAGGAGGATCTTTGTGACACATGGGATTAAGACCTGTTTTAGACCAACTAGAACCCTCCGGAACATACTAGTCGCACCTAAGGACAAAACATCAAAGGAAAGCAAGTGTGGGGTAGTTTACCATTATACAGTGTCAAGGACAGACTTCCAAAGGCCCATGTAAGGAAACCTATATTGGAGAGACTGAAAGATCCCTAAAGGCTAGGTTCTTAGAACACAAACAACATAGCTTGACTACTTCGGAGGTCTCACAACATAGACAACAAGCAATAGACATCTTCCCTCCATGAACGAGGTTGGTGTTGTTAGGGTTAACCATTACAACCATCCCTCAACAGAGACGGGGGCGCCACAGACTTTCGGCAACCTATGATCCACTGCTCACGGAGTCACGTGTGTTATCTGCTTGACGTCACGGAAGTGGTGGATTGTTTATTCCTCGACAAAGACTGGAGTTGTAAAGTTGAAAATTTGGGTGAGTCCAATTTCTTGTGTTGGAAATTACAGTTGCTGCATATTGTTACCTCCATGAAAAATGGAGGTATTGTTTTTGGCGGCGTCTGTCTGTGTGTCTGTGTGTGTTTCCGCAACTTTGTAGTCAGCATAACTTCATAACGCCTTTATGGATTGTGATGATATTTGGTATGCTGATAAGTCTTAGGAAGACAAAGGTCAAGGTCAAATATGGGCCTCCTGGTGGATGACCTTGGTACTGCAGCAGAACTTCCGGTTTTTGTATCTTTGGTCCTGAACATGCTATGGTCTTGAATTTTTGGTGACAGATAGCTTTTCCTGTCAGGAATAAGTGGTGTGGGTTTGGTCCCCCTAGCAGCTTGTTCAGGAACTGCAGGGGACTTTCGGGCGAAATCTTTGAAAGCCAGTAAGTCCAGATAGGAACAGCGTATTTTCATCATTTTTGGTGTGTAGCTATCTGACAGAGAGATGTACATAATTAAGTGCAAATTATGCAAATGAGGACTTTATTTGCATGATTAATGAGGAAATTCTATAATTACAGTGTTTTACATTATAGAACTTGCATACATGTAATGTATGTAACCTATGGCAGATGGAACATCAACAGATACTAATTATGCAAATGGTGACCTTATTTGCATAATTAATGCAAAAAATCTATGATTTCTCAATGGTGAATGATGGGAATGTCATACTTGGGACATCTTTAAGTTAATCAAAAGTTAAGATCACGATGCATATATCATGTTAATGCAGAGGTCATTTGCATAATTAAAGAAGAAATTTACATTTACATATCAAGCCCATATTTCATGGAGATATGAGATCTCGGAACTCTTGTTTTGTTTTTGTGTGAACAACTTTTTACATATGCTTCAACTTTGCAATTATTTAAATGAAGGTTTAGTCCATATCTACCTTTTTTTTATTAAATCCCGTTATAATATATGGTTTCAAGAGAAGTGAGCTATCATTAAGGGCCCCAGCCTATTAGTACCAAATCTGGGAATATTCTTCAACAGAATTTTACCAACAAAATGTTTTTGTTCAAAACAATTTTGGAGACAAATTTGTCAATCACAGACCAAGCAGGATCGTGAGTGTACAAGAGATGCACTTAAGTGAGAATCATAGTTACTACAATACTATGATTCTCTCTGTACCAAACCTTAGCTTTCTTGCTTTCAAATTATCAAGAATGGGGCTTAACTACACACTGTAACTAGTGTAGTTTTAATCCAGGTATGAAAGAAACATTGCAGAATGCAGTCTGACCCAACATTGCAGAATGCAGTCTGACCCTGTCAATGTCAAAGGAAGTCTATTACTTTCTCAGTGAACCGAGAACACCACTACTGTGCAGGTGTATATTTTGTATCAGATGAAAGGCTAAGAATGTGGGAAAAATATATAGCGGCAGTAATCATGGCAAACCATAGGTACTTACGCAGACTTCTGAGACGGCGGCATCAATTTTTTTTGGAGCGACACGAGTTATGCCGCAGAGGGACTTGCATCACTCCCGAAAAAAATGAATGTCACCGCCTCAGAAGCTAATCTGCGAAGGAGGCTATACTGTGATGGAGTTTGGTCAGGAGTTTTGTAAAACAAAAAAACAATGGATTACCTGAACTGAGGCAAAAGACAAATTTCAAAGCTTTAAATATTTAATGGCGGAATGAGGTCTCCAAATTCTGGCTATCAATGCATTACTTGTCATGCTTTCACATGAAAGTTGTTGGTAGTAATCATTATAGTACAATGTTGAACAAAGCACTTAGTACAATGTTTAATAAAGCACATATAGTAGTACAATGTTGAACAAAGCACAAAGAGTACACTGAGATCAGATTTGACATTGTCATGACATTAGAGTTAGACACATTAAAGCATACAGTCCATTACCAAAGTTTGTAAAAAATCTTTCGTAAGAAGTTGCTCAGGATGAAGCAAAATTTCTTAGCGATAAGACAATATGGAAACACGGAATTCAATGTAGACTGTTATTGTTTATTTGTCAACTAGTTCCAGTGTCTCAACATCAATGAAAACCTTAACACATGCAAATAAAGATCATTATTGTGCAAAGATAAAGGAACAGGACTGTCCTACACATGTACATGTTAGTTGTGTGCATTAAGGTTCTCCTGCAGCTGAGTCCTTGTCATTTTTCATGGTGATGTCCTTATCTGCCCCATCCATCTCTCTTCCCTCCAGTTTGTTGGAGTCACCACCATGTTTACCTCTACTGTCCTACAAAAAAAGATAAATTATATTATACATTTAACAACAGATAATCATGGCAACATTCACTTCACATACAGTGATGTCTTTGGTCTTGTATGTGTAACAATTTCATCTTCTCAGAATGGTGGCTAATACATCTCATTTTATTTTAATTTCAACCAGTTTCAATACTTTTTTGCATTCCCATGGGGGGTGTTTTTTTTAAAAAACCGAATTTAACATTAACTTTCCCCAACCGGGGGTTAGACGTGCTTGCACCAAGTCCTTTTTTTTTTACAAGTCTTCTTTTAAAGCAAGATTGTCACTTGTACAATGTAATTGCCGTCGATTATTGCAAGTTTAGGACTTTAAGACTATAATGTAACAAGGAAGCAAACCACTGAAGTTGAAAACTGCAACAAGACAAGGTGGCAGGGATTCATTTTCCCCTGACCTTCCACCAACTGTTACAGAATATGTAGAGTAAAAGCAAAAATAGACTGGTCACGCTATCCTTACCACCTCACAACCCTGAGCAGCCATCTTCTCAAACATGGACCCATACAGTTTTTTCTCCTGCTCCCTTTCCTTCTTCTGGTGGTGTAGAATAGTGGTAACCTGGTTCTTGGCAGCCTACAGATAATAAAACAGAGCAGAAGTGAATACCAAGATTTATGTCATACCTGGGCCGCGATTACGTTCGATACGGGTGTTCCGGCCCGTGTGATAACTAGCGGTACGGCCCGGGGATTCTTAACACGTACGGCCCGGGCTTCCAAATGTTCCATAGAATAATTTGAACGCGTTTCACCTTAACCGCATGCACCGCTTTCAAAAATTCGAATACAAAATTCGGACATCGCAATTGATATTGTTGCATTTTTTGGGTTTAGGGACACCAAATTTTCGCTTATTTCGCATTAAAAGGCATGTTTTCTTGGGTGGGTATGACATAAATACCCTTCTACCATCGGCCGATCCGACGCGCGGTCGGGCTAGTACCTCGGACGATACTGAATACCCCGTGTCGTATTCTCTATGTATCATTTTGATTTCATCAAGGCTTCTACCATAAAAATGCACTGTCTCTGCCCGTCCTAAACGGAAAACTGCCATCCTTGTAGTCCGAACACAGTTGGCTGCCCACAAACTTGCCCCAGACAGCCGTCCCAAAAATTAGGAACGCCTCCCTGTTGCTCCTAACCCATCCTGATCCATCTGGTGTGGAAATGGGCACCAAAATCAATTGACACCAGCAACCACCACAATGTTTCCCAAAAGGAGCCCTTCACAATGTTTCCCATGGAGGTTTTAGGCTTCTAATGCACGTCATGCGCAAAGTTTGAAGGCGCTGAATTTTACCGTTAGACCAGTTTACCGGGGAAACATGTAAGTCAGTTTTTTTGCCTGAGGCTTCACAGGCATACAACAATCATCCTCATTAGGGACTGTACGATATTTACCGGGGAGGGGGGGCGGTCGTCCGGGGGTACCGTAAAAAAAATTTTCCTAGGCCCTCCCCCCAGGTCAAAAAAAATTTTCCTAGGCCCTCCCCCCGGCTCAAAAAATTTTTCCTAGGCCCTCCCCCCGGCGTGAATCATAGAGAGTGAAATTTCGTATGGGGAGGACGAGATTTTGATTGAAAATTTACCCCGCATGAAGCGCCGCAGGCGCCACTAGAGCCCGAGTAGGCCGGGCTTTTTTGGGGGGGGGGCATGTCCCCCCCGGAAAAATTTTGAATTTCAACCCATGTTTTGCATGTTGAGGGGCAAATTTGGCAAATTTCGCTGGTACATCGAGCTATAAATTAAAGTCAGTAACGTTATGGTCAGTCAGTGTAATCGAAATAATCCTCTATCTAGCCTACCTTTCGTCCACGAACTTCTTCCCCGTCAATTTTATTACAAACAGGGAAACAATATTGCCAACTTAGGTGTTGTTTTCAATTAACTTTGGAGGGACATAGATATAAATGTTAAAATAGTCCTTGGTTTAAGAAAAATACCAAATTAATCCGTCGACATCCGACACGCCGAGAAGTTCGAGCGAGTTGCGAGGCGGGACCAGCGGGACCTTTGCCGACGCACGCACGCACGCCTCTGGGAAGGGAGCGTTGAACGGCGAAAATTAATTTTCAAAATCTACAGACAAGCCTTCGCTACATTTTTGATCGGTTTTGTTTCGATTGACGCGATTTTAATCCATGTAATTTGACTGTGTAGTCCAGTTTCGCCGATTCTGGCAAAAAATGCAAGATTTTGAAGGGGACTGTGGGAGATTTGGGCGAATACATTATAATAATAGGGATGGAACGTAAAATTCTGCCGATTTCAATGACTGGAAAATCGCTACGATATGTACGGGACAGACGTTTAATCATGTTTTGAATGTGTATAAAATGTTGTAGAGTTAAAGGGATCTTGGAAAAAATTTTACCTAGGCCCTCCCCCAAATTAAAATATTTTTTCCTAGGCCCTCCCCCGGCTCAAAATTTTTTTCCTAGGCCCTCCCCCCTCAGACGACTGGCCCTCCCCCCCGGTAAATATCGTACAGTCCCTTACCAACCTGGCCAGTCTCCTTTGATTGGTTGAACAACAGTTACTGTTACGTCGATGAAGGTTAGACATCCAGGTAATACGATATGCCAAAAAACAGTTACTCAAGCAACTGGATATGATTTTGAAAACGTCAGACGTTTCAGCTAGTATCCACTAGCTTTCGTCAGTGACTGAGAGACCAGCGGGGAAAGCAGGTTTATATACACAACCTGTTGATTGATATGCAAATAAAGTGAAGACAAATTTTTGGAAGTCGAAAAAGGAACAAAAGTCAGACAATTCAAGACAAGATGATGCAAATTAGTCTGAAAGCTCCTGTTATACAGGACAGGAGCTTAAGTGTTGTCTGTCCTCGGGGCTGGGAGTGCCAAATCCCAAGTGCCGGAAAGATCGACCCGTAGCCCCCCTTCCCTGTTGAGGGTGGGGTTGTATATTCTTTCATATATTGCCTCTTTAACACCCCGTTCCCACCAGCGTGTTTCGCGGTCTAAGACATCCGTGGACTCGAGTTTGAAAGAGTGACCCTGGTTGTGTTGTAGGTGGTGGAAAATAGCTGAGGAGTAGCCGTTGGCACTAGGTCGGCAATGTTCTTTGTACCTTACTTTAAGCGGTCGACTTGTCTCTCCAATGTAGGTGTTGTTACAATTGGGCTCCTCACATTTGAGTCTGTAAATAACATTCGCCTTGGTGCCCTTGTGAGGTCGGTCCTTAGGGTGTACCAGTCTTTGTCTGAGGGTTGAGTGAGGTTTGAAGTTAGTGGCTATGTTGAAGTTTTGGAAGATCCGTCGGAGTTTCTCAGATACTCCTTGGACATACGGAATAGTGATGTTGGCCTTGCTTTTGTTGGTCAAAGGTTTGCACTTCTGGGTTTTCTTAGACTGATCTGAAGGTTTGAGCGCTTTGTTGAAAGTCCAGTTTTGGTAGCCACATCGTAACCTTCGTTTCGAAGTGTACAGGAAACCAACCCACACTGATCAGTACCTGGCTTTTGATTCCCACCACCCTTTGGAACACAAACTAGCAGTGATCAAAACCCTCTTCCATCGTGCAGACAACATTGTCACTTCAGACCAAGCCAAAACGGACGAACAAAGACACCTCCGAGGTGCCCTGGCTAAATGTGGCTACCAAAACTGGACTTTCAACAAAGCGCTCAAACCTTCAGATCAGTCTAAGAAAACCCAGAAGTGCAAACCTTTGACCAACAAAAGCAAGGCCAACATCACTATTCCGTATGTCCAAGGAGTATCTGAGAAACTCCGACGGATCTTCCAAAACTTCAACATAGCCACTAACTTCAAACCTCACTCAACCCTCAGACAAAGACTGGTACACCCTAAGGACCGACCTCACAAGGGCACCAAGGCGAATGTTATTTACAGACTCAAATGTGAGGAGCCCAATTGTAACAACACCTACATTGGAGAGACAAGTCGACCGCTTAAAGTAAGGTACAAAGAACATTGCCGACCTAGTGCCAACGGCTACTCCTCAGCTATTTTCCACCACCTACAACACAACCAGGGTCACTCTTTCAAACTCGAGTCCACGGATGTCTTAGACCGCGAAACACGCTGGTGGGAACGGGGTGTTAAAGAGGCAATATATGAAAGAATATACAACCCCACCCTCAACAGGGAAGGGGGGCTACGGGTCGATCTTTCCGGCACTTGGGATTTGGCACTCCCAGCCCCGAGGACAGACAACACTTAAGCTCCTGTCCTGTATAACAGGAGCTTTCAGACTAATTTGCATCATCTTGTCTTGAATTGTCTGACTTTTGTTCCTTTTTCGACTTCCAAAAATTTGTCTTCACTTTATTTGCATATCAATCAACAGGTTGTGTATATAAACCTGCTTTCCCCGCTGGTCTCTCAGTCACTGACGAAAGCTAGTGGATACTAGCTGAAACGTCTGACGTTTTCAAAATCATATCCAGTTGCTTGAGTAACTGTTTTTTGGCATAACAGTTACTGTTGTTTAATTTGAGAACCGCAGTCCCACCGACGGACATTTTGTTCAGCATGGCCCAGGTTTTACAAACTGTTTTCACCATTTCAGACAGTATAATTAATATTGGGTGTACTATTTCTTATATGTTAGTCACACATTCTAGCAGGGTTTTGGTGCCCAAACTTGGTGTTTCAAAAGGTATGTTCTTTTACTGACACTATTCTTTATTTACAACCAAATAATGAGTTTTAGAAGCCAACACTTCAGTGACTGTCCATCCTTTCTCAGGATAACGTTGTTTTACTTCGCACTACAGATGGTGTTAAGAATGCATTCCCAAACATGGAGTATTGTCATTAGGCAACCCACTTGCCTGACATACATGTAGCAACAATCTAGATGCAGAGACCAGTAGCAAACATTACTGTTAACTTGTCGTAAGTAAAAGGCTCACAGATATGTATACCCCAAATCTCCCTTCACAACAGTTGTCATTTCAACACTGGTAAATTTAAGTTGTGCGAAAACCTTAAATCTGAACACAGTATAGAAAATCACTGATTCTATACCACAATCATCAACTTACAGTAAAATGGCAGTGCCAGTTCCCTAGAAATAGAAAAGCGTAGGCACAACAAGGCTGAGGCAATAAAAATCATTGCCAAGGCGACGACTGAAAGATATATATTATTTCATGTGATGGAGCTAGCAATCTACATTACAATTATAAGAAAAACAGACTTCCCTATCTTAGAAAGACAAGCACGTAGTGAAATTTACAGGATGGGTGGAGGAGGTGTGGGACAATATACCAAATACACGTATAGGAGGAATCAGCCATTCTTCCCCAGCAATATAGATCTTATGATGACATACTTATACTTACTTTACAGTTTACTTTGGTCAAGTTCCCGCTCGAACCAAACTTAAAACCATCCTGCACTCCACTTCACTCTATCCTCCATCAGACTGGATTTTACGTTTGATCTGAAGTTGTTACTCCTAGGACTGGTTTGACCTTTTGTGGGTCCCCAAAGGACGGATAATTTCTTTTCTCTGTGTGATCTGTTTGAATAAACCCACCCCCACCGCCTAAATGTGTGAATAATGAAGTACATTTCATCTGCCAATGTTCACAAAATACTATTCTGAAGTAATATGAATCTCCAAAATTTATCCGATCTGAACAACCAACAAAAAACTATCCTGCTTACGTGATTATACTGGTCTGGTCAAGTAGAGTTTCTGCAGTCCTTGGCTTGAAATTCTGCGTAGGTGTCTAGCCTATTGACTGTCGTGCCTGAACATTTTCTCCACCCTACCTATTGCTTTCTACTCTAGACTTGTTCTTTTTGTTTCTTATGTTTGGGTCTGTTGGTTCAACTTTCTTGAACGACCAGTCTGGGGAGTCATACAAGGAAAAAGCCTGCATGGAGGTGTTATTTACAGGTTTCTACATGAATTATGGCTATACACAGTGATGATGATGATACATGTATGTGTATCCTTCTGTTGGTTCCACCAATGAGTAGGCAGACAAGTCAAGCCACTTCCATTCAACACACACTTCAGTCTGGATCTTCCATGCACCTGGGCCACTTCATGTGGCTGTACAAATGTATTGACTCAAGACCTCATTAAGTTCCTATTGCAGCTAGATTTATTCTTTCATTATCATTTAAAATTAGTATTTGGATTATGCTTAACTTGTTTATTTTGTCTGTTTTGTATATCTTATACATTGTTATACACTGCATCCAGACAAGAGCAAAGTTATATGCATAAAGTCTGCACAAAGCAGAGTAGAGTTACTCCCTATCTACATGTACATCTCAGGTTAGCTCATGGAGCAGGTCACCTTCTACACCCATCTTGGTGTCACCATACACCAGGCCATGGGCTAGTCTGAGCATGTGTATATATTACATCTACTAGTTAGCCAGGAAAGTACTTGGATACCTCTGGAGGTCAAGAGGCAAGTTATCTCAAGAAGCTCTAGAACTAGCCTACTTTAGCCTGGTTTGGCCTAAACTTGAATATGCCTGTCTGTTCTCTTCAACAATATGAGTGCTTCTGCCTCCAAGGAACCAGAACGTATCACGCAGGTCGCCTTGTTACAGGCGTAGCCCCAAGGACACCCTACTCAGATGTGCTGCAAGAGCTTGATCGGAAACAAGCTTAGTGGTGGTGTCATGTGTGGAATATGCGTTAGTAAGAAATCTGGCAGCTCTTTTGTGAACAGTTTCAAGTTTTGAGATGTGCTCCTTGTGGTAAGGGGCCCATACAGTGCTAGCATATTCTAAATGCGTTCTAACTAAACTTGTGTATGCATTTTGTTTCACTGATTTAGGACAACTGTAGAGATTTCGTTTGACAAAACCAAAAGACTTAATTATCGCTTTGGAGGTGATATGTTGCATGTGTTGGGACTAGGAAAGTTGGTTGTACGAAGTGACTCCTAAATACTTATGGTTGTTCGTCTCGGCTAGCGTGTGGTTACCTAGCTTATAATAGTTTTTAATGTTACGTTTAGCTACGTTAATACTAAAATCCTGGAGTTCATTTTTTATAGCAGCTTCAACAGCTTTTTTCCAGTGAAAAATACTTGATCATACTTGATCATGTAGTTGTAGATCACATATAGTACTGCTTTGTTTTTTTTTGTATGTGGGAGGGCAACCTGTTAGGGTGCATAAAGCCATAAGCACCTATTTTACCCTCCCTTTGACATTGTGGAAATTTAAAAAAAAAGAGTTCCACAACCTCATACCTTGGCCAGATAATGTTAACCCATACAATTTTAATCATTGATTTTGCAAATAAAAGCCTCATTTGCATGGATTATATCAGTTGATCATACTCTCCACCAAATGACAGCCTTATCTTAACAAAAAAGGCTATTCTAGCACTTCCTCATAAATTATGCAAATGAGGTCATAATTTGAATAAATTATCTTTACTGATGTTAACCTTTACTTATTAATTACTTATTTACTTTCCTCATTAATTATGCAAACTAGCTCCTGATTTGCATAATTGTTATCTGATTATGTCAAGCATCACTTCAGCTACCTACATACCAAAAAACATTAAAATCCGTCAACTGGTTCTTGTCAACGAGTTATCCTTCTTCAAGGATTTTTCAACAAACACTCCTGCAGTTTCAGAACAAGCTGCTAGGGGGCCCAAACTCATGTCACTTCTTCCCTACCCCAAGAGCTATCTACCAAGCAAAATTCGTGACCCTAGCATGTCCAGGTCGCGAGATATCAAAACCAGAAGTTCTGCTGCAGTACCAACAAAAGCCACCAGGGGGCCCAAAATCGAATCATCATCAAGACCTACCTACCTAACAAGTTTCATGACAATGCATATTAAGGTTCTTGAGTTATGCTGTTCACAGACAGAAAGACAAACAAGAAGCCATAGGCAACAATCCTCCGTGAAGATTTGATATATATTTCAACAAAAACAATCCCAAGGGTCAACGCCAGACCTACTGTGCAGACAGTTGAGAGCAAAATATTATTTCATGTGGTGGAGCTAGCAATCTACATTACAAAACAGATTTCCCTATCTTATAAACACATGCATGTAGTGAAGTTTACAGGATGGGTGGAGGAGGTGTGGGGCAATATACCAAATACACGAATAGGAGGAATCAGCCGTTCTTCCGGGCCCAGCAATATAAAAATGTTATGATGACATACTTACTTACTTTACTTTGGTAAGTGGGACTTTGGTTGAGTTCCTACTCGAACCAAAGTAATAAACCATCATCCACTTCACTCTATCCTCCACGAGAGACTGGATTTTACGTCTGATCTGAAGCTGGGACTTTTTTTACCGGTACCTTTTGTGGGTTCCCAAAGGATGGATAATTTCTTTTCTCTGTGTGATCTGTTTTTAACTCACCCCCACCGGCCTAAATGTTCTTGGGGAGGTAATGTCAGATTCCTGATCAAGTGGCTATTGTGGAAAGACAGCTGTGCTCTCTGTCCATGGTGTGGGGAGAAGACAGATGACCAGTAATTAATCATGCCAGGCAGCTGGATGGGTGGCACGTGGGCACCCAGTGTAAGTTACCTGCTTGATCCAAAAACCACATGGCCGAAGGTTACCTCAGAACCAATTCCCTAGGGAATGTATTCGTGCAATTTTTGAAATTCTTTCAAAGCGATGGTAGTACTTGCACAAATGCCTCCGCCCCAAAGGCGTCGCCAAAAAAAGTATTGGAAAACAATACTAATGTCATAGAATGCTGAAATCAATTCAGGAAAAGAAGAAAATGTGAAGAAATGAAAATAAAGACTATTATTATTTGCCATACCATACAGTACATACATGTGTGTTTAATCATTTGTTCAACCTTTATGATCACAATAGATTTCATAATGAAGGAAACGTCAGTTTTGGGATTCCCAGAGGATGTCATCCAAATAATTAAATCAACATGGCCTGAAATAAAGAAGCAATACAGTACAAACCTTGTTATTGGGATCAATCTTCAGGACAGCATTAAAGTCACTCCTGGCTTCCTCGTAGTCCCGGATGGTAAATCTAGCTTGTCCTCGCCGAAAAAATGCCTTTTCATTGTTTGGGTCCTTCTCCAGAGCCTGTGGAACACGCATTATAAAGGATTCCAATACAATTCTGGGCAAGAAAACAAAAATTTTCTACATGAGAAAATCTGTCTGAAATTAACTTTGACTGCCTTTTCGTACTTGAAGCGTTTCAAATAGCCCCATAACAGAACACTTTATTTTTTTATACCAACAATAGCCTACGCTACGAAATGTGACAAGACACCTTTTCCCATCAGTGACATCAAATTTTTGGCTCACAGATTATCAGCATGACACTTTGATAGGGTTGAATCAACTCAACACATTAAAAAGTGACAAAAAATTGGTTTCAAAAATCACTTGGTTTTACTGTCCTGAAGTCGCTTTAAAAAAATTATCATTAAATTTTGCTCTCAACATTCAGAATGGAATTCAGAACAGAATAGCGTATTAGGATTTAAGTGTAGTTTGATGATATGGATTTGACACTTGTTTGTATTTAGATTTACTTACCTATTTTCCCTTATGCCACACCGACTTAATTTTATGGATGACATCCTCTGAAGACCCCCAAACTAGTGCGCGCGGGCGAATAAAAAAAAATTCAAACCAAAAATAAAAATTCTACTAAACCACAGAATACAAAGCTGGTATACAAGCCGGCACATGCTGGCTTTTTGCGGAATTTATGAATCGATATCGACACTGTACGTATGTGCTGAGTTGTTGAGTCGTGGAGTTTCGGTACCCTGGTTGCCCGACTCCCTATTGTCGCTAACTACCATGGACTACCCAGGCCTAGAGCCAGTGCAGAGCCTCGGTGGACGTGATCTTTTTTTTTTTTTTTTGAGAACAGGCGAAAATCAATGCGCGCGCGGATGTCATCCATAAAATTAAATCGGTGTGGCCTTACTTGTGCTCATGTATAATTCTATATTTATGTACAGGGCACCACTGGAAAGTTACTGTGTAGTTACATAACCAACTGGATATGATTTTGACATTTCAGGTAGCATCCACTACCTATCATCAGGGACAATGGTGGATTCTCAGAAAAGCAGGTTTTTAAGCATGAACTACCGATTGATAAGAAACAAGTGTCCATAGGCGACAACTCACCATGAAGTTTTATATTTTGCAAATATATGATCAATAACACAACAATCTAAACTAAACAGAAGAAAAAATAAATTTCATTTACTACATATTATGTTTGATAAGGTATCATAGTAGGTGCAAGCCAGTTACTCTTATTGGGTTGGGTGAAAAAAAATTCCCCCCAAAAAAGCCTAAAACATGCCCAAAATAACCCCAAACCTCTGCTTGGAGAGTACAGTATTTTATCCATCAAAGTTTGCACTTAAAGTGTGAAGAGAATATTGACTGACCTTACTACAGTGGTTTATAACTTCATAAGGTTCATCTGTCTTCAGGTAGCACATAGCCAAGTTGAGATGAGCTGCCAACATCAGCTGTCCTGCACTCTTCTTGTCCTCCTCATCTTCTATCCGGTCTGCATCAAACTCTAAGTAGTCCAGTATCTTCTTGTACTGTGTCACAGCCTCCTTGTACTTCCCTCCCTGTACACAGATGTAAACAACCAACCAACCATCCCTTGGGTGTGCATTAAATTTCATTTACCTATTGCTACACATGTACAGTGACTGTCATAGTTACACCTGTACTTATTTTAGTTTTGTACCGACTTATGATGCATTCGTGTTGGAAATACAGTACAGATCGTGGGATACAGTACAGATCGGGAGATCCCGTGGGAGTTTGCGGGATATCCTGCCGGAGTTTGCTTGATCTCCTGCGGGATTTGTCGGGATATCCCAGAGTGCACAAAATCTCTCCCGTAACCCTATCTTTGGTGTGAGACCTTAGGTTTCCAAAGAGCTGGCACCGCTATTACTTGAACCACGTTGACTACTGATTTTTAAGCAGACAGACGATGCGTGCATGTTTGGTATGTTTTCAATACATGAAAATAACAGTAGAGCAAATAGATAGTGTTTTTAACCAATTTTTTTTATCAGAAATCTGGTGGCTTAATAAGGTACAGAACAATAACAAAGTAATACAACCTTCTTGAACAATTTTTGTGTCCAACCCTGCGACCTGGACAGCTTTTGATGTCACCCGACCCGCACTATCTCAGATCTAATCAAAAATCTAACACATCGACGTGCCATGTCGTCACTCAAGAAGTTCTTTATTTTTCTCATAGATAGGGGAGGTTGACGTACGGAGTTATGGAAGAGAGATTAAACATTGTGTAAAACAACGAGGCGAAGCATAATTAAAGGGATCTTTACGCTTCAAATTTTGATACATTTCGTGCGCCACGCAGTGTTGAGGGCCTGCATGGGGGGTAGTGATTACGAATTACGGAAAATTTTTGCTATAAGGCCACACCAATTTAATTTCTTGGTTAACGGATTTTTCTTGAAAAATAATGGAGCGGGCGGGCGAAAAAAATAAAAAATAAAAACCGGCCTAGCCATCCTATTATGGCCCAAAATGGTACGATAGGAGCCATGAAGTCAACACACCAGGCTGGTTCAAAATTTAAACAATGAATTTTGAACTTTTAATGATACCATTGCACTGAAAGATGGAATACTAGTAACTGTAACAAGTAGGATGAAAAGGACTGTTTTCAACTGTTCGGGGTAAAATATGAGCATTTTGCAGATGATTCTGAATGTTTATTTTATTTCCAAATCAGAAGAAAATGAAGCGGGCGAATCCGTTAACCAACAAATTAAATTGGTGTGGCCTAAAGTTAAAGTTTCAGAGCTGATTACGACTTTACACTTTGCGGCTAATGTACTGATTACGAATTACGTTGATTTTTGGGAAGGCTGCCTACGGTTTATGAAGACTATTAATAATTGAAACTTTATTGCATGTTCATTCCCCGGGGGATAAATGCATGGATGTACAAAGTACAATGTACTAGAGAGTACTACAATAGTAATAAAGAAAGGCTAACATAAGGTCTAAGGTATACAATGCTAAAAAAGAAATATATATTATATTAAGTGGTATAGATCTAAGTTCTAATGGCTTCTACTCTCTTTTTGAAACATTTTGAAATATACTTACATACTTCATTGATGACGTCTATATTTGTACATGATATGATATATCTAAAAGTGTCTTCCTTTGATAATGTTTTACATTTTTTGTCGAGCTTATTTGAACTGAACAGTGATTTACGTTCGTAATATCATATAATATACATTTTGTACAGTCAAGCATAATAAAAAAAAGGCCTGATTATGCCTTAGTGTTGGGCCGGGCGTTCCCGCGCCGTGTCGCCATAGAAACCGTACGTAGACAGCAGCGGCAGCAGCCCTGGTACACTCCCTGGCGCCGACAGACCACGTAGTATTCTGGCGTACTGGCCAATCACAGCGCACAGATGGTGACCCGCCCACCAGCCAAGCCAATCAGATGCGCCGCCCCAGAGACACCACCTGACGATTTGTATATTTTTCCGCCCTGCACGGCTGCTATGCGGCATTGTAATTTTCTTATATCCCGATTTCATCCCAAAACAATGTTTTTCTACATGTGACATCGAGGAGGCTAGTTCCACGAAGTGTACCGAGTGAATTTCATTTTTCACCGAGTCAGGTTTTATGGTCTGAGAACGAATTAATCTGCGTCAAATTTTGCATAAACACGTTTAGTTCGGGGTCTTCCATGTTTATCTTTCGGGTTCTCCTGTGTCTTGGACGTGCGCTACGTTGTAGCATTGTTCTGGTAAAAAAATTGACTCCGTTTTCATCTAGTTGGCTGACCCCGCAGCTAACAGAAGTAGAATGTTTTCCTACCAAAAGAAACTTTGCCAGCCATGTGGAAGTACTTGCTTTCAGGGTGATAGTCAGGGTGATAGTCGTGAATGGACGTGGTTGTTCTTGATGCAAGAGTTTTTGGGGAGGAGTTTTGGAGATGCACACATTTTGATGGGCAAACTTTTAATTGTCGTAATTCTTAATACTAAATACGGAGACTTCTTGACGCAAGCTAACCATGAAAAGACCTAAACAACTACAAGATTATGAAACACAACAACCACAAACTACTCCCGGTATGCCCCATAATTTTTTTTTTGGTAACAATCTTACCGAGAAATTCACTGGAGACGAAGGGATTACTACACGTTATATTGTATTCATGCTAGTTTCTTAAAGTTTGCGCTGAACAATAGCTTTGTAAAAAAAAATGTAACAGTTTAACTATGACTGCGTGAGTAACACCTCATACACATTATTTTCGTTCATTCCTGTGCTTCACCACCATTAAATAAGAATTGTAGCAAAGTTGACTGGTGTCAGACTCCATTGGCCCGGCACAGATCACCCAGCAGGCAGGACATAAAAATAAACATTTGGCACGCCGCCATTGGCGTTCGGAGCCGCGGTACATTTGGGGGTCTCACACCAAGTTTTGTCGCTACGCCGTATATGGGACATGATAGACGTCCCAAAAGAATAACGTGGGATATACCGCAAACTCCCATAGGATATCTCGCAATCTCCCGCGGGATATCCCGCCATCTGTAATGTACCCCTAGCCGGTATAGGAGTAAGTTCAACAACTAGCACTTTTTAAAGTGTAAAGAGGCAAATACAATGTGTCATGTACTGTTAACTAACCTTGAAAAATGTGGTACCCTTGGCCTTGACTTTGTCTGAGGCCTCTAGTTTTTCTCTGGTGTCCATTTGCCATGACTCTTTCACCTAGACCGGGGAAAATACAAATTGATACATATTATATAACAACTCTATAGTTAACTTAGGAGCTAAATACATCTACAGTTAGAGAATTTATGAAATCCAGTCTATTCGGTCAGCCGGTCCTCTTGAAGAAACTCTTGAACATAACGCTTTCCATAACAAAACAAATTGAAATAATAAGTGGATAATGGCATAACTGCTCTTCAGCACAACACACCAGCTTCAGCTTATCTGTATCAGATATAATAGCCAGTATGACAGCCTTTCAGCACAACACAACAGCTCCTGTATCTTTATCTAATAGCCAGTATGGCTGCTCTTTGGCCTAACACACCAGCTCCTGTATCTGTATCTACATAAGCCTACAGCATAACACACCAGCTTCTGTATCTGTATCTATATACAGTCGATATAACAACCTTCAGCATAAATACCAGCTTCTGTATCTGTAATCAGAATCAGAATTCATGGTCACTTCTGTATCCTGAATTTATCATTACCCTAAACAAATAATTTGCAGACTTTCTTTCTTCAGCACCTGCCGCCACTGCGACCATAAAGTTCCGTAAACATGTCCATTTTTCTCTGACCGCAAACTTTTGCTACCAAGAATATTAGTGATTTACAGTAAACTATATAGCCAGTATCACCAACCTTTGGCATATCACACTAGATCATGAATCTGTATCTATATAGCCAGTATAACTGCCCTTCAGCATAACACACCAGCTTATGAAATCACTCAAGATCTTAATTTGCAATCAGATATAGATTTATGTACAGATACAGGGCTCGTGACTGCGACTGATTTGGTCGCATATGCGCCCAAAATTTTGACGGTGCGACTACATTTGAAATCACGGTCGCATGGTGAGCCAATAAAAATTTTAGCCTACATTGTAGATAATAGCAGAATTAACCCGTAACCTGAAAATAAATGAACTCCTGGCCCTGTTCGCTGACTGAAGCACAACTCTGTTGTTTTATTCCAGTAAAATATAAAAAATAATTTGCTCGTCTTCCGCGGAGCGGCGTGGGTCGAGCTGCTAATCGCGTGCATCGTGCCGCTTGTATCGGCAAAGCAGCGGCAAAATGATCCGTCATGAAGGTCATGAAGCTAGCATCCAAACGTACAAGATATTACATGTACAACGTGTTAAAACAATACTAAACAAATGGAAATATCTTTTAGGCAACAGCAGAAATAAAAATTCACTATTATATTTTTGGAAGGTTAATTTTGAAAAAATTAACATTAAAATTCCCCAAATTTATTGGTTTCTATGTTCAATGTTCCTTCCGCCGTTCCAGCGGTGTGTGTCGGTAATTTCCCGCCCCGCATGAGGTAAATTAGTACTCCTCCCATTATTCTGTGATGTTACCGCGGCCTGCATATGAATGCAGAAGTCTAACGAGTTAGCAAACGCGTTACTAACGAAAAAGTAACGGAAAACTAACAAAAAAGTAACGCGATAGTAACGGCAGTGAGGGTAACTATAACGCTAACGGTACTGTACGGATACAGATTCATGTACAGATACAGATTTTCCAAGTATGATGACCATGTCAGTGAGTGAGTGAGGAGGGTTGACACGGTGGTCTTCACATGGATTTGTTTCAGGTGGATAACAGGTTGTGAATCTGAGACCCACACATTTTTGGGCATCCGTCTTCTTCCGAGGCACCATATCGAGGGAGACGTGCCGGTTCCGGTTGGGATGCTTGCAGCCAGCTGCTGAATGACTTGGTTACGTTCAAGGTCAGCCTTGATCACACCAGCCCATCTGGCCTTTCTCTCGTCTGCCAGCTGAAGACAACTGCCATTGGAGACTTGTCCCTCTATTTGAAGGGGGATACGTGTAAAGTGCCATTCCCAAGGGCACAACATTGGGGCGCAAGTTCGGACATGTCCCTGGGATAGGATTTTGAAGGCTCTACCACTATGCCACACAATGCCATATCTGTATATGTATAGCCAGTTTAACCACCCTTCAGTGTAACTGGTCCAGCTTCTGTATCAGTATCTGAATAGCTGGTATAACGGCCTTTCAGTGTAACACACATCTTCTTTATCTGTATCTGTATAGCTGCTATAACCGCCCTTCAGTGTAACAAACCATCTTCTGTATCTATCTGTATAGCTGGTATAACTGCTCTACATCATAACACACCTCCTTCTGTATCTGTATAGCCAGTTTAACTGCTCTTCAGCATAACACACTACTTTCAGAACAAATACAAAACTGGTTATACTTCAGCCATGGTACACATGGTACACCAAGTACAGTTGGAGGGGGAACAAAGTAGGGCATTCCAACCTTTTCAAAGTTCTTCAACTCCACCTCATATTCCACCTGAGCACGGGCAGGAATGTTGAAGTCTTTCTTCCCTTCATTTCCAAATGCAAACTGTGATTTCAGCTGGACTCTCCACTTTTCCTCTGCCTTCATTTTGGTGACAGCATAGTCGACTCCCTCAACAACTCCATGGTCTGTAGCTGAGAATCAACAGTAATATCCAAGAATGATGGACTCTTCACACATGTAGGTACAATGTTTCATTTAAAACATTTTTTTAAATTCAGGCTTCTGGCCTGAAATATTTTTTTGTCATTCCAAAGGGGTCCTCAGTCATGTTCCTCAGTCTGAAAATTTTGAAATCTTGACCTCCTGAAAATCTGCAGTTTGAGGGGCAATTTTTGCACGTAGACAAAGCTTGTTTGGCGAAAAATTACACCAAAAGTTTCAGCTTGATTTTGAGGTATGGCATGGACCTAATTGGTTATACACACCCTACTTTTAAAAAGAACATAGAGACATCTTATCTTTCTGTCCATGTATTTTCCAGTAAATTTCAAGTCAAAACAAGATTTGTCTGGCATTCTTTCTTTCTGTGATTTTCCATGATGCGGCATGTTATTGGTGGAATATTACAAGTTTACAAGAAATAGTACAAAATGTTTACAAAAATACTGTAGCATTTCAAATTCTACTGGCCAGCGTTAGAAGTGATCTGAATTTCCACCAAAGCTCTGCTCATACCGTTACAGTTTACACGCCTTATCTGAAAAATATGAGGGAATAGGCAAAATTCACGGAAAAAAGGATGCTGGCTAGAACCTTGTTTGGAAAATTGCCACAAACCATTTCAGTTTTATGGTATATGGTACATTTGTATGCTCATCAGTGCCAGTTATGGTTATGATACAACTATTGTGTACTACAAGAACAAACACAGATATAAAATTTATGTACCCAAACTGTTTTTTACAAGTGTACATGTAGCTATAGGTCTCTCATGTGCTCAAGCTTTCCTCAAACACAGGACCTGCAGTTTTATATCCTTTCCATACTTTCATATCCATACTTTTCGTTCCGGCAAACTGCCTTGCTAGGCCCTGGTTTAGAAATGGGAAGTTCCTGAACATAAATATTTGAGAATCTGATATCATTTACATGTACTTACCGGTTTCACCAACAATATATTGTACGTCTCTGTCCTCAAACACTAATCCATTGTAAGTACCCAACAGATGAACTGTAACACAAAAAGTTATCATTAAAATTAAATTAAAATTCTGCATCATAAATGAATGGATGGTGAGTAGTGGTTATGGAAACAACGTTCAAGTTCAAAAATGGTTATCCTGTCATGTTCCTACATTGCTTCAGACAGTTGTGTTTGTTTGTGTACAACATAACTCGGAAATACTGGAATGGTTGTCATTGTATAATGTTAATGATATCTAGTGAATGGTTAGTGGCAGCAAAAATGAAGGTTCAATAATGGGCCTGCTAGCTGCCATTTAAGGTATTGCAGCATTGTGTCAAAGTGTGAGGTAAAATTTTCTGCGTCACTACACTGTCAGGTTAATGATTTTTTGGGTAATGGAATCTCTAAGGAGTTACTGGACAAAACTACACAATTCTTCAAACTTTACTGGGTATAAAAATTAAATTTTCAGGCATTTTCAAGCGTCTGTCCGACACTCTTAATTAGTGAATTGTTGACTAATAGTAGTATGCAAATTAGGTACTCATTTGCATTATCTACACCTGCAGATGTAAATCTGTCGGCCTTCACCTTGGAGGTGTCATATACATGTACAGTACTGAAATTAAGGTACAGGTTCGGACCTGTACCTGTAACCTTAATGACAATTGAAGGTGTGGTCTTCAGTGATGACAGAAACATGAATGAGCAGTTGATGTTTAATGGACTGATAGACCATCATGCAAAAAACCTGGTCTCAAAGATGATGCTGACTTCCATCCCCATATAACCAACAAGATTCCCCTAGAGCCACCTTCATATAACCATTTCCCACATATACTGCAATTCTTGATTTCATAATGGTCACTTTAGGCGGACGCTGGGGAGGGGGGTGCAGTGCCGCACGCAACACACGCATGCATTACCATCTTTTTTAAGTCACCACGCGGGTACAGTGCTTTGTAAATGATTTACTTCCAGACACCATTGGCTTGTCTGTATTGTTTGTTTTTTTAATTTTTAAAATCGACTTTGTCCTGTAAACTCCCAACATTTTTTTCTTTGCTTCCCCCCCCAAAAAAGCCAGCGTTTTCATGTAATTTATCACACATCAGCCATGTTCACACCGTTATATCTAAGTGCTGTGAGCTTGTCCATTTTTTGCCAACTGCTTTAATTTCCAACTGCATTATTAAATGGATTTACAGTAATTAACAGAGGGACTGTACCTTAACTTTGCCACTTTATCATGTTTCCCTTATTTTTGAGGTGGAAAGGATCATCAAGATTAATAAAGAATCATGCAGTCTAGTTCCTGTTTTCTGATGAAACTGATACATGATAATGATTATGACTAATGTTAGTGAATTATGTTTTTTGTTGATTAAGAAAACAAGATCCATATTTGCGTGAATCTTATCAGTTGATCATATTCTCCAACTTATGACAGTCTTTTTGTATGTTCTAGAATTTCCTCAAATGAGGTCCTGATTTGAATAAGTTATGTTAAGTGATGTTCACCTTCACTTAACTTCACTAAATGCCACAGGTATGAAATTTCAGGCAGTTACCACTTTGGAATTATAGCTTTTTTTCTTATTAATTATGTACAAATTAGACCTTCATTTGCATAACCAATATGCCAATGTTCTCCTCGATCACAATAGACCGATCCTGATCGAACACATCGAACCTCCCTGTTGTATTTTGACCACTTCGGGCAAAATCAGAGCGGGAAATCTAAGAGCAGCAAAATGAGTTCATGTCTGCTTGATAAAAACTCGTTTTACCGGTGAAGCTGAATTTCAAAGACGTTCCATTTGTTTATAAAGCTATCATCATTGTTTATGTCCCTCTTTGCGAGCTTATGTTGCTACTTGTATCACAAAGCCCTTTAAAAGTTCCACCCTCCCTTGTGAGCACCTGAGCTGTTTTCTTCTCATTTCCTTTTTTTATTCCTGGGCTTGCAGGTAGTGGTGATACATGCAAAAAATGCAGTGGAAAACCTGTCACAGATAAACATACTCTGCGTAACAGATGCATCGGCTGTTTGCCAGCAACTGGGCACTTTTGTCCGCCTACCGTGTGATGTTATGCGGTGCGTCCCCATTGAGTGCAAACATTTTGCTCTCACTAAAACTAAGTTAAACCCTGACCCCACCTCAAATAATTTTACTCTGCAGATGTATCCTTCAAGAAAGACAGCGTAACCTTTATTGGGGGCTGCTGAGAGAGTTTTTTGCTACTGAAAACTCGACCCTAAAGTTGGACGACAAAACCAACATTCTGGTGGCGGCGGCCTGTAAAGCCCTTCCTGCGCTGATTTTGCCCAAGGTGTTCGAGTTCCTAGGGCATTGCTAAGGGGGGCATGGCTTCAGATCGGTCCCGAATACTAACAATATCTGCATATGAGTATTGGGGCATGTACAGTGTACATACGTACGTTATGGCTTTCTCGCAGTCAGCGGCTGTCTTGGTATCGTATGATATTCCTTTAACAAAAACCTGACCCGTTAGTAATGAAATTCTAACCCGCTAGTTAACGGTGCTGTACTTACTTTCTGCAATCGCTCCTTCCTTTGGCCTGTCATATCCGACACCTTTCTTTATAACACGGCGCACAATACCACCTTCTTTTTCTTCACTTATGTCTTCTCCAAAGAAGTCCAGTAGTTCCACCTCAAAAATCAGTGTGGCATCCTCTGGAATCTTAGGTGGACTCCCTGGAGGAACAAACACGGCTTGATATCAACATGAGTATTTACACTAGCAGCAACTATGATGTATACACCCAACTCCACCCTGTACAACTGCTGCTACACTGTACACACACCTCCACCATGTACAACTGCTGCTACACTGTACACACACCTCCACCCCTGCACACACACCTCCAACCTGTACACCCATCACCACCCCTGTACACATACCTGTACACCCATCCAACTTGTACACACACCCACCTCCAACCTGTACACCTATCACCACCCCTGTACATATACCTGTACACCCATCCAACTTGTACACACACCCACCTCCAACCTGTACACCTATCACCACCCCTGTACACATACCTGTGTCACCCCTGTATGCTCACCTGCACCCCTGTACATGCACTTCCACCCTGTAAACTCATCTGTTCGCCCAACACCACCCCTGTACACGCAACACCACCCTGTACAGGCACCCAACATCACTCCTGTACACCCACCAACACCCTGTATACCCACTGCACCCCTGCATACCCACCTGCACCTCTGTATACCCACCTTCACCCCTGTAAACCCATCCTCACCCGTCTACTGACCTCCACCCCTTTACACCCACCTAAACCCTGTACACACACCTGCACCCCTGTACCCACCCCAACCGCTGTACACACACCTGCACCCCTGTACACACCCCAACCCCTGTACACACACCTGCACCCCTGCACCCACCCCAGCCCCTGTACACACACCTGCACCCCTGTACCCACCCCAGCCCCTGTACACACACCTCCAGCCCTGTACACCAACCACCACCCCTATATACAGGTACCTACCTACCTACCTAGTCCCATGACCGACACTGGTCATCGGGTGACAAGGCAGACTATATACCCACGGATATGTGATGGTATATTCTATTCGAATAAGGAGGGCTTTTGGCATAATTGATTAAAAGAAAAAATGATTCCTTTATGTGGCTCAAGCAATGGTATAGGTCAAATGTTGTTCAAACCATAATATGATTTTGAATGGGGGGTTCTTCCCACTGCTTGGGGGCCCAGTGAGCGCAATGTTCCTAGGGGGGTCCGGGTGCATGCTCCCTGGGAAATTTTGAAAAATGAACCTTCTGAAATGGTATTTCCGGGTTTTTTTTTAGGATTTCAAAGAAAAAATCAGAGATAACTTTATTCAATGACAAAGTGAGCCTTTTTAATACGATTCCAGCCTCGCTGGTGACACAAATCAGTCCATCTTTTGAAGAAAAATCTTGGACCTTTAGATAAAAAGTGGACCAAAACCTTTGAGCCCCCGAACATGTAATACAATTTGTGATCGCTGAAATTAATCACCTCTTTTGCCATAGGCATACTGTGGCCTACATGTCAGTTGAGCCAGTTCTCCTCTCTTCATCGTAGCTACACCAAGATCCCAGCCTTTGATCACCTGCCCTGAAACAATATATAACAAATAATTATTATGGCAAACAATATATAAACGATAGATACACCTGGCTCCAAATTAAATTTTTGAGTTAGGAGCACAACCTAAAACAATTGGGTGGAACTGAAAAAATCTAGGCGCACCACCAAAAAATATTGTCCTATATCAACGTAATTTACAGGACTTTGAATACACTGAAAAGGGTTTTTCAGGATCTCCCCAGGAATTTAGAGTAGCAGGGCTTGAAATTCATTTTTGGGAATAGGTGCACTGGTGCACCCAACCTAAAACATTAAAGTATAGATCTTACTGCTCCTCTTATGACTATGAGCTTGAATCTGAAATGGGGACTAACTTACAACAAAGATTTTATTATTTTTCTGACACTTGTATGCCAAGAATATCCTGCATACTACCATACCTTTGATATGTACAAAAATACCTACAAAAATATTTGGGTGCACTGGTGCACCCACAGAAAAAAATTGGGTGCACCGCTCCAATTTTGGGTGCACTAAGGTGCACATGCACCCAGTACTTTGAGCCCTGAGTAGGGCGGGTAAGGGAGCAAAGCACCTGATGCAGCTTCCTCCTCCCTTGTATTTTGTCTTTCCCAGACATAAATGGAAGTAATTTCCTTCAACTTCAGCTCTACATCCTTTCTAAAACTAAGGCCGTCTTTAGACTGACGATGGTTAAATAGTCGTACGAATGTTTATCGTCAAGACGTTGCCGGCGACGGTATTTTACCACCGTCTAAAGACGATCAAAATAGTTGCACAACGGTAATCCTCGAATCGTCGTCACTACCACCTCGGACCCTATCGTGCGATCCTTCAGCGGGGGGTCCGAGGAGGATTTTCCACCGTCTAAAGTGAACCGTCGCTGGCGAAGGAAGTGGGAGGTCATTGGCCTTATGCAAATAAGCCTGCAAGCGTTATTTCATGTCCAAGCACATCGCCTGTATCATTAAATGTCATAAAACCAAAGACTTCATATCGTCATACGTGTCTAGTACAATCCCCTGTCACCAATCGCCACTTCTCCGGTACGAACCGATCCGCCAAATCACATTTCCCGGCAAATATAGCCAGGCCGACGGCAGCACCGAACGCCGCGTTCAAATCCGGAGTATTGCCCCGCTCGGTACATGCGCCTCATACCCATTCTTTGCTGGGCACAAACTCAGCGTCTTATCCACAGGACGAGTTAAAAGCAGAATAAAAACAATCTGCTGCAGCATGCCGAAAAAAGGGGTTCTCTCGCCATTTTGAATTGGCGCGCGGCATGCCATCCTGCGCTGCGGGTATCCGCCACGCTTTCTGGTCATGTGTCTAAAGCCAGCCGTCGCACACAATGATTGTCGTGCGATCGTATCCCGTCGTCAGTCTAAAGTCGGCAAAATATGAGGCAGGAAAAAAATGCTAAAGATCTATTCTTAATAAAAAAATTGGGCATAGGTTCCCCACTATGGCCCCTATTTTAGGGGCTCAAAATTTTTTTCCTAGACCCCCCCTCCCCACTAAATATCGTACAGTCCAGGGATGGGTACCTGTTTGGCTATTTCAGGTCCAGGTCCACAGGATTAGGTCCAGGTCCAGACCTGTACCTGTACCTGATTCTGGAGTATCAGTACCAAATGACTTTTGCTAAATGATTATTCCATCTAATGTATAAGAAACCAAGTGCTACAAAAATTTTCATTCGTTTTATCTATTTTATTTCTTTATTCATTTTATTTTATTTCATTTTATCCAATATTATTTTATTCTATTTCATCTGTTCTATACACTATCAAACTTTTCCTCTACTCCTATGGCTACTAAAACCTCAGAACCAAATATATTAATACATTAAACTTTTTTTTTTAAATTTACTTCATCAGTCACCACAAAACAAGGCTCATGGGAGCCACTTAAAATGTTTTGGGTTACAGAACAGCCAGTGAGGACAGATGTTTGTTGACCTTAGACTTGAAGAGTTTAAGGTTATACTCATAAGGGAAGCAATCACGAGGTAGCTTATTACCTCCGGGTAGGGATGTATATCCCGAGCGCGGAGGTTTTGTGAGGGAAGACGAAAATTGCGTTCGCAGCAGTTTCTAGCGTTTGGGTGGACGGATATGTCTGGGACTTGGTATACGTTTTGCTGTTGGGCTGTAGATGGTGCACGTTGTTTTGGTTTTTTAGTATGTGTGTTTTAGTGCGTGAAAATGATGCGTTGTGACAGAGTATGGACACCCCTTGTGTGTGAAAGTGGTTCTGTCTTTTGGTTTTCGGCGTGTATTAAGTGTCGTAGGTTGCGTCCACATCTGGTGAGAGGGGGTTTCAGGTATCGAGTGTGAAAAATTATGGTCGCGCGGGTCGCAGCCAGCCAACTTCCGGGTGGGCCAATGGGTCAGGGGTCAACGCCCTCTTGCGCAATTTCGGATGTTTTCTGCGTATAGTACGACTTCTTAACTTACAAATACCGTGGTATACTGTCTCAGGCGTTCTCGACATGCATTTCGCGTTGGGGTAGACGGGACTCGGTGTATCTTCTGTTAATGGGCTGTAGATGGTGCAGGTTTTTTTGTTTTATTGTATATGT